CTTTTTGCCAAGTTTTCATTTGATACCGGGTGGCGCAAAAGAAACGCGTCGTGTTTGACGCCTTGTAAAATCCGTTGTGGATGACCTAGGTTCGTGATATATTCACATTACGTTGGAAACAACACAAAATTTGCTTTCTGAAAGTTTCATGAACCTAAGTTCAACACATAGTAGAATAGTACTACTGTCGTACGTCGTGGCATCAGAATCGATACCACGCAGATTACTACGATGGGAACTGGCGTAAAAAGCAGTATTTATGACGTCAAGGTAGAGAAATCATTCGAGCGGTCCTGAAACTCCATCCTCCTCGTACGCGGAAAGGTCCATTTTATTACACTATATTGGGCGACCGTCGATTTTTATTCAGACAACTTAGGTTCATGAAACTTTCAAAAAACAAATTTTGTGGTGTTTCCAACGTAATGTGAATATATCACGAACTTAGATCATCCACAACGGATTTTACAAGGCGTCAAACACGACGCGTTTCTTTTGCGCCACCCAGTATATGCATTGAAGACAGTCTGGTCCACACAAAGACATCATTTGAATGGTGCATTTCATTATACACCCAATTAGTTCCCTCACTTTTTGGAAAGACGGCATCCCTTGTCTATTGCAACTTTCTACGCCACATGCACCTGTCTTCCTGTCAAGGTACTGAAAAAAATGGACTGGAATACCAATCGTTTGTGTAAACAGTGACTCTTATCAAGGTATGGTTCTAGCACTATCATAAAAATTGACCCAGATACACCTTGCAACTTCCGGTGTCGTTTCAGTTTCTTTCATGGTGTATATTAGGAAATTTAACCCTTCAAGCGCTGAGTTTTAAATTCCTGTGTACGAGGAGCGTTCAAAAAGTTTCCGGCCTGAGAGGGAAGATGAACAGTTAGCGCAACGTTGCTTTTTCCCCAGGCTCTCCATTCAATTTCAAGAGGAAAACTAGCATGTCCGGTCACCCAGCTAGTACTTTCCTTTTTCCACCCCAGGTTTTGAAAGTGAGGTCGCTCTCATGTTTTTGGAAATATGGAAAAAATTGAGCTTCGTGCAGTGATTAAATTCTTTCATTTAAAGAACTTAACCGCAAAGGAAATCCACACTGATATAGTGACTGTTTTAGGGGACAACAGTGGCGTAGGCAGAAAATCGGCAAGGGGGGGGGGGGGTTGAGGCCAGGTAAGCACCCCAACCCTACGCTTAGCCCCACCACTCGGAATTTACCTTTCTGAAGAAATCGTGGTCTGGCATCTTGGGTCTGTGGATGGACATTGGACTTTCCTCGAAGGGGAATAGCTAAAACTGGAATTTCCAAGGAAGGCTGAAATATGCCTGACTGTCACTGACCAGGAAGCCCAAGGTTCTGACCCCCTAACCCCCCCCCCCCCTTCCCTACGCCACTGGGGGACAATGCTATCTCCAATAGCATAGTGAAAATTCGGGTAGCTGCATTCAAATGTGGCAGGCAGAGCACAGATGATGAGTCACAGTCAGGGAGACCAACAATTTTAATCTCTGATGAGAATGTTGACCGTGTGGAGGCTATAGTGCATGCAGAACGTCGAATGACCATTACGCACATTGCTACGACCCTACAGATTAGTTCTGGTAGTGTAGAATCTATATAAAAGAACAACCTCCAGATGAAGAACGTGTCTGTAAGATGGGTGCCCAGAATGTTGAACCCAGAACAGAAGCAGCATCGCCAGCAGGTTTCGATGCAGCTTCTTGAGCGCTACCAGGCAGGTTCAGCCGACTTTGTCTTCGGGGTCGTAACCCATGATGAAACATTGGTTCACCACTTCGATCCCGAAACTAAGCACCAAAGTCTTCAGCAGAAAAACCTAGATTCACCACCCATTAAAAATTCAAGGCCATCACCTCAGTAGGCAAGGTCATGACCTCTGTCATCTAGGATGCAAAGGAAATTTTGCTAAATGACTACCTGGAACATGGAACGATCATAACGGGTGACTATTACGCCAAACTGCTTTTCGAAGCTGAGAGAAGCAATAAAGAAGCGTCGAGGGAAACTTCGCCGGGGTGTGCTAGTTCTCCAGGACAATCCACCAGGTCATGCCTCTCAGGGTTGCAAACGCTGCTTTCCGCCAATGTGGCTTCGAATTGCTTCCCCACCCTCATTCGCTTGATCTAATTCCCTCTGATTTTTACCTCTTCCCTCTTTCGAAATAAAATTTGTATGGAAATACATTCAGTAGAGATGATGACATAATGATGGTCGTTGACAGTTGGTTTGAAGACCAATAATAATAATTTTCTTTAATTCACTCCAAAAGCTGGAATCACGCAAGCAAAAATGCATTGCTGTTCCAAGAGATCATGTCGAAAAATGAAATAACATTCGCGTTATTCAGACTTCATCTTACCCTTTAGTCAGGAAACTTTTTGAACGCCCCTCGTACATCCCCAGGCGTATATTAAATGCACGACTAGGAAGGCTTTCACTCGCATTGTACTTTTTATTATGACATACAAATCTCATAAGAAAAAGTGGAATAATTTTTCACTTCAGAACAGAGTTTTTATTGGGCACCTAACTACGAATATTTTCAAATGCTTTTTTTTATTCTTTGGAAATTCGATGCTTTTCGAGGATGACACTGGTTAATTGAAAGTCGATCCTTCCAGTGTCAGAGACTCATCAATTGTATTATTTTCCTAGGGCTGTATGCAGTTTTAAACCTTTCGTTCAGATGTTACAACAGGGTGAATTTTTAACCATTTCTTTGAGCCTTGGAAATCCCATAATTTTGAGTTATCCACAAAATGCAGAAACTCTGAAATTAGCTCAAACCTATCCTGCGACATTATATTTGAAAAAAAAAAAATTGAGTCTCAAAATAAGGATTTTTGGTAAAGTAGGATTTGATTATTGGTTTTTGCACAATTCTCATCATCATGACTAGTGCAAGGTACAAATGCAAGTACATCTCATTTCTGTCAGCAGGCTTCCATTCGTGTTTTTCTCGTCTTAGAAGACTTCGTTTCCTCGAAGTGGCAGCAATTTTTGTTCAGTTTACACTTATAAAAGTATCCCAGAGGTGCGCATACTACTGTCAAAGAACTAAAAAAAAAATAGACTGAACACATAGTCCTTAATGCGCTCTATATGCCGGTCGAAATACAACAAAAATCCGTCCACAGATGACAGAATAATGTCCTTGCAATTAGGTGAATGAGGAGAACGTACAGCGTACGAGGATACAGATACGCCCTACCGGCAGGTGCTGAGTATCGTACGGTGTACGTGAAAACGGCTTGAAGGGTTAAGATGAAACCTGTCTTACAGTCACACAGTACAAAGACATTATTCTTAACCTGTGCCTCTGTGGGAATATAGTTTGAATTTTTTCAAAACAGCATTTATAAGGGCCAAAATGTGTTATTGTCAGTCACCCTGAGATTGCAACATGCCATCACCAAAGCAAAGCATGAATCTGTCTTGAGAAACCACTAGTCCAAATATAGGTTTGCCAATCAAGGGATCCATATTTCTAGATACGATTTTTAGTCATGAGTCATGAGCATGAACAGTGCTAGGAAAGTATACATTTCTGTCACAGTTGTGTCAAACCCATATTCCAAGTATTTTATTTTCTGACAAGACTGTTTTTGTTGATATAGAGTAAATTTTGAACAGAGAACTATCTGTTAATGCAGCTTTATTTAAGGGAAAATGCATTATATTTCCTGAAAATAAAGCTGCATTATCAGATAGTACTATGAACGGGACTCTTCAGTGTTCGCGCTCAGCAGCTATTTGTCGGGCTCCCATGTTTCATTGATCCGGTGCGAGTTTCATTTCGGCTTCGGGAGGTCCATGCTTTTTACACGGTAGAAGTTTTTACTTATTTAACCCTTTAGCGGAGTAATTTATTTTGGCACGCAGCCAATGGCAATGGTGCAGGAAGTAACTGAAGTCGCTTTTCGCAGCTTAAGGGTTAAGACGTCAGCTGCCAACGCAATTTCCGACGCTTTAACCGCGAGGCCACGTGCCCCACCAGCGGATATGTGGCAGAAAAGGTGTTAAAAGTACTGACGTCCATGAAACCCTCAAAAGTCGTAGGGCCCCAAAGTACACCCATGGGATAATAATCATTTATACACAGGCAAAACGGGGATACAGTTCTCTGATTGGAGATATACGACTTTCTCCCGATATAACGAAATAATTCCGGCGGCTTCATCAACTTCGTTATAACGAGAGTCGACTGTACTTGGTTTCAGGCAATTTTTTCTCAAGATCCTCATCAGAAATGTTTGAAACCAATCTGACTCGGTACACTCACTGTCCAATGGAACTTCATGACATACTCCATGCTGAGATGAGTCAAAAACCAAATGCAGGAGGCCTGTAATATTCAGAACTCTTCCACTGAAGCTCACTTGACTTCATAGCCTCTTGGTTGCCTTTCTTGTGGTACTGTCTTAATTTTTTATTTCAGTAATCTGTCATTTCCTGATTTCACATTCATCAGTAATTCAGTGATATCTGTCACCAAGCAGTGAGCTAAACCACCTGAATGCCATCTTGGATTTGACCCCTGCATTAGGAAAATGGTAAAACGAATAACATGCTGAGGAAAATGTCACATCTATTGAAAATGGTTCACCTGTGAAGCCAGAAGATGGCAGCACACAGTGGCAGAAGATCGAGATTGCATATACATGTATGTACACAACCTGAGCTCAAAAATTGATAGCATAAATGTTTGTGCATAATCTGGGTGGACCATCTACTAGTGCAGTGGTTCCCAAACTTTTTTGGTCACAACTCAAAATTCAACATCCAAACCCTGGGTTTGGGAACCCGTGTACTAGTGGATGAATAAATATGTGGATTTCCCTCAAAGGATTAATTTATGTACTAAGTATGCATTGTCTTGCTGCATACCCTTGTGACAGACTATGGAGCATAAGCAAAGAAGCATCACATGCACTTCATTAGCATTTCTTAGCCAGAGAAACACAAGAAGCAATTAAAAGCTATTTTTATTTAGAGAATTTGCAGACTTGGAGGAGGGGGAGATGGAAATCTATGAACAAAAAGAAGTGCGACAAAAACATATAATATAACAACGATCAATCATGTTCTGATGGATCGTTTCTTGATTTTACTTCTTCACATCTAGGCATAAACAAGAGATGGAATGCATGGCTGTCACTGGATCAAGCCCTTTGAAACAATAAGAAAGATATAGAGAATGAGTACATGCCATGAATATCATCAAAGATTTTCTCTGGGGAAGAAGATTCCAACACTAAAATATGCAGAAAATGGGACAAATTATTAAATCATCACATACTCCTCGATATAATAATAATAATTATGAAGGGGGTGCATACCATAGTGCACTGTAAGATTTGAGTCCCAATATGCACTTACTGCCTGGAAGAGCAACAATGGCAGCATGCAATTCAGCATAACCTCCTTCCTTGGTATTTTTGCACACTCTAAGAGATGTGATGGTTCTTTCCAGTAGAATCATCTTCACCGATTGATGTGATTACATACTGTATCCTTGATAGGGTGGCATCTGTCCAAAGGCATTTGGCATCCCTGGGTATGCATTGGCCTGTGGGTATGCCGTTGCCGGATATCCTGGTCCGGCAGTGATCATCAGCTGTGGCTCCCCTAAACACAGTCAAAATGATTGCCTAGTGCCTAAAACTGGACCCAGAGAGTAATTTCACCTATGGGTGATTCCATGTCAGTCAGTTCACATTTTTTCCTTGACCCCTTCCAATTTCAATGAAATTCGGCATGCTAATGAAGAAACAAACTATAGCAACTTTCAGTTCCATACATTGACTGTCATTCTCAGAATACTTAATAAAAAATTCTGCAATTCTGGGGCACTTTGGGCTCAGGAATCACAAAAATTGTCATAACACAGTTATTAATGAAGGTAATCATGGCATCTTTGAATAGGTTATAAAATTCCCTATCAGGTGATGTGTAACACAAGGTGATAAAAGCAATGACCTTGGCCAATAAGTTTTGTAATTAACTTTAAATTTGACCTGACCTTGACCTAAATTCCCACACTCGATTTTACTAAAATTCTAGGACATCATCAGGTATGTCTTAAATTATATACACTGCAAATTTCATTTTGGGTTTTTATAACCTATGCAAGGATGCCATATTCATGTCTTTACATTCATTAATAATGACAATTTTTGTGATCCCTGAGCCCCAAGTGCCCTGAAATTGTAGAATTTTTGATTGACTGTCATCCTCAGAATGTATAATGCATGGAACTAAAAGTTGCTATAATTTGTTTCCTCACTAGGTACAATCAGCATGCTGAATTTCATTGAAATTGGAAGGGGTCAGGGAAAAAAGTATGCAGACTGACATGGAGTCCACCCCTAAGATACAGGTCTAATGAACTCCTGGGAATGTACAGGTATAAAGTCATAAGATACATCACCATAAAAGGCTTTATCTTGCAAGGATAATTTTGTCAGAGGGTGGAAAACCAAAACGTTCCAGAAGAACACAACAATATTCAGTAAAAGCCACAGAGTTCATTTGTAGGAATAGAAGAGCTTCAATGAAAAACCTGTAATAATTTTTTTGAAGGGATGACAGATTTTTCTAATTTGACCATGAATGTATACTCAAATTTTCTATCCAACATTTCACAGTAGAACTGTAATCAAATTTTTCATTTGAGACCATGCCTCCTTTCATGTTGAAAGTGTAGGGAAGAAAATGTGAAATGGACATACCAAAAACAATAGGCTTCTCTTCTGGAGCAGGACCTTCTTCCAACCGCCGTTGCTCAGCTTCCTCCAGCTTGTCCACCTGATAACAAAGACATGTTATTGATCTTTGTTTTTAAGAGACCTTCAGGTTCAAGAGGTTATGGAAGAAAACAGACCTTGGTCTTGTACTCCTTCAAAAACTGAATGAAAAATGGCATGGCGAAATTCATGATATCATGACGCCAGGCAAGTTCAAGGACAACGTCTGGAGAGAGGAGGTCATAGCATTGGAAGAGAGAGGCAGCAAAACAGTCTCGGTTCCCCTGCTCCAGAAACCATAGCAACAGCTCCTCCGCAATCTCTGCTTGCTTAGACTCTGCTGCATACTCCATAGCATCCTTTGAAAGGCATGAAAAAATCCCTCAAGGAATCTTTTGTCAAAGATCCTCCAAATGGTGGGTGGACTAGGATATTTACTTCATGGAAAAACAATAATTTCAGCAGTGACAAAAGGACCAAAATTAATATAATCTTAACCAACAATAAATGCTTGCATCAGTTACTTTATAAATACTGTATATTGTTATGCATTGAAATTAAGAAGTAAAGGAACTGACTGAATGCATTCAGTCAGCCAGCTCACCATTACACTGAACTTTTGTTCCCTTGATTAACCATTTCAGACCTGAATTAAGGCCACTATTGGAACAATATCCTCTTTTGCTTTTGTAATTAAAATCTTTGTTTAATATATTGTTTTTATATTTTGTATACATTTACCATACCATACCATATATATTAAACATTTAATTACGTAACTGACATGGGAAAGAAGGCCTCTGATGGAACAGAGCCATGCATAATTGTGCCCAATGTAGCATAATATGGGGCACAGGTCACAAGAATCCCAAAAAATTACCATAGACACAATGAAAATGCAATGTCCATTGGATTGGATGTCAGGTCTGAAAGGGTTAAGATGGCATATGACTAGTCTTCATATAACCTGCCTTAAACAAGTCTAATGAACAACAACAAAAAAATCAAATTAGAGGGCATAAAAACTTATGATTTCAATGATAATGTACAAAATCAGTTGATCTTCATCAGCCAAAAGGCCACTTTTGTGCCATAGAATGCTCTTTTCCATGATTTATAGGTACAAATGCTATACTGTAACTTTTTGGGAAAATGTTCGGATACTCTTATCAATGACTTCACAATCAACTGTTTTTTTTTATATTTAGGACAGTTGCACTACTCAGCTAGCGAATGTTTAGGAGCTTTGGAGAAAAAAATCAGACTGCCAGCACTTATGCAGGAGATTTAAATTGGTACAATAAAAGGTAGGAGGTTTCTCATGTGTTTATTATTTTTGAAATAAATATATCTTGATCAGCTTTTTTGCATGGCTTACTTAGGCAACTGCATACATCTGCTTTAGTGAAATGTAAAGTTTCTTTCACACTTTATACAAAACTTCAACACATGTTTACACTTCTGCCATCACTTCTATCATACCTGTACATTTGAATAGAGCATTTACAACTACAAATTGATAGAACGTCAAAAAAATGTTGAAACGAATGTCAATGCTCAGAAAAACATAAAGAAAATGGTTAAGTTTGATGCTTTGCATACCTTGTATAGCTTGTCTTTCTTGCATAGCTCCACAGATTGCTTCCACCGATTATTGCCTTTGTAGAGGTAGGCAGCAATGCGGCGGAACTCAACAAGCTCATGTTTCTCAAGCTTCTGTGCCAGGCCAATGTTGTCAAAGTTGTCAAAGGCATCAATAGAGGTGCGCAGCCCCTGATAGTCCTCCTCCTCAATGAGCAGGGAGTTAAGGGCCTCATTGATAGCCTTGTTGTTGAGGCTCTGCACAGCACGTAGATATGGCTTCACCAACTGCAGGTGACCTGTCTTGGAGAAGAAGCTGACGGAACGGGTGTGGTCCAAACGTGGACTCAACACCAGCAACAGGTCATTCAGCAGCAGTGGCTTGTAATCCAGGTAGTACTGGATTGCCTTGTAGTACAGTTCTATGTTTGCCACCTAAGGAACATAATCCCGTTTCAAAATTTATCCATTTTGATGGGTAATCACTGCCATTAATAACATTTTTTTCAAGCTGACTCTTACATTACAGATTATACTGGCATTACATTTTTTATGTAGGTATAATCATGTTATAGAATATACAGAATACATAAGAGATCAAACAACACCATTTTAGAGCTCAGTCCTGCTATTAACCCTTTAACTCCCAATTTTCCAAAGATTCGCACGTGTGTGTACTGGAGTCAGGATTGGACTGAAGGCAATACAGCCCTTGAAGCTATCATGAGTACACTCAAACATGGGATTTAAAGGGTTAATCCATACCAGAATGATAGAAATACCAAAAGACTTGCATTTACTTTCCACATTCTGTTGTACAATAGTTGAATACAGTTTAAATAATTGCTATTAACATACCATAAATGAAAAATGATCTATTTCATGATTTTAATAGATGCCTCATCATTAAAGCATCTGAACCACATGCTATGCAAAACCAAACCAAAGGAAATCTACACACGGAAATAAATGAATCATGAATGGAGAAATGAGATGGAGACCTTGGTGATGACATCCTTAAAATGTCCTTCTCGCCAGGCCTCAGTCGGATGGGAAATCATCGTCAAGATGGCATTATCATACTCCTCATACTTGTCATAGAGGAACACTAGCTCAGCCCACAAGTGTGCTTGTTCTGCAGCTCTTAGCACCTAATCATCAAATAAACATTAACTCAAACCAATGCTATCTGAGAAATGATCTGAAAAACATTCAATAAAGGATAGGAAATATCAACCTTGGGAATGTTGACACGGGACCAGAAAAGCTCAAGGTGTTCCCGCATCTTCTGTGGCTTGTATTTTGAGTATAAGATGGCCAATTCAGTGAACATCCCCATGTGGGCTCGCTCAAGCCCAAGTGCAGCCTCAAGGAGCCCAATAAGCTCTTCAAAGAATCCACGGCAGACATAAAAGTTGATCAGCTCCTCAAGCTCATCAGCATGGACAACAATGTGCAGTCCACACATCTGGGCCAGGCGGAATTCACCAGCTTCCACACAGGCAAAGCATACCTACAATCCAATCAAGGATAAATTTCCATCCACCCTCAAAAGTTCTCCTTAGCCTTATCTTTAAGGTGCAAGGGTCCATTGAATTAATGAAAATGCATTCAACAGTCAGGTATGCAGTAATCATCTGAAATAAATGTCTCCATGTCCCTCAGGAGAACTACCCCCCCAAAAAATGAATATGTTCTGTCTCACCTCTTTCCATGTGCGGGTAGAGTTAGCTTTCCGTGCCGAGTCCACGGCACCCTGGAACTCCTTAAGATGAACCAGTGTGATGGCAAGCCGAGCAAAGTTGCTCACGTTGTTGTAGAGGAGCTTTGCTGCCTCGTACATCTTATCCTCAAAACAGCGGTCCCCAATCCGTTGAATGTCTGCATGATTTGGGCCTGCAAATGGAAAAAATAAATAAGTGTAGAAGATACAACCTTCATTCATTAGCATCAAGATTAATGAGTTTATATTAAATAAAATGCACCTGCAATGAAGTCCTCGAGGTCAGCAAGGCGACCAGTTCGTGCATAGGCATAGATGAGCTCTGACTCAACATATGCTTCACGGGTCTTTTTGCGGGCCATCTGCAGGAAACGCACAAGGTCCTCCCAATGTCCAGTGCGATGTGTTGTTTCCACAACCTTTTTACAAATGAAAAGAAGTCATCACATTTCAAACAGATATGACATTGATTTTGTGAAGAAACACAGTATATGGGCAATGGCAAAAATCAAGAGAACCAAACATGAAAAACAGGTTTTGACAAACAAAAAAACCGACAAGGGAAAGATAGCTTACCTGCATATAGCTGGAGGGATCATTGGCCTTAATAAAGGAGTCAACAGCTTCTTTGACAAGCCCATCATCTAGCTGAGCTTTGGCTAGTTGGGACCACACACCTGGCTCATTGCACCGCTCAGCAAACTCATATGCTCGGTCAAGGTTCTTCACATTCTCTATCAGCACCTATAAATGCAAGCATTACTGTATAGTGGAGATTCCCTGATGACACTAATGGGATGTTAGCATCTCAGTTAAGACCTGGATGGCCGAGGTGTTCACATCAAACTTCTTGAAAATGGCAAATGCTTCTTCATAAAGCCCAGAATTTATAGCAATGTTGGCAATATCAGGGGCATCATAGTTATCCAGTCGACTGATGTATTCCATAACACGAGACTGATCAGCTTTGATTGCTGTCAGAATCAGCAAGTTCTGCAGGTTCCTGCACAGAAAAAAATAACATTTTAATATAGCTTCCCAATGCTTGGAAAGAAGGTGCCACCTCAAGCAAAAATTTTTTTCAGTCAAGCGAATGTAAACTAAATTTCAAGTAATGTAATACAAAATACCTATGATCACTGAAGACAGAATTATCCAATACAATTTTCTCTAGCAGCTCAATAAGTTCATTAGGGAGCTCAGCAGTCATGAAGGCCTTCACGGTGACTGAGATATCCTCCGGATCCTGAGTCTCAGACAGAGCTGTCTGCACCACCTATATCAAAGAGAAAGGCAGTGCCATCAATCACCCCTTACTCATAAGAACTTTTCAAATAAAATAAAATTTTAAATGGTAAGTGAAGACTGGACCTGGTCGATAAGGGGCCGACGAAAGGGGTTTTCCTCATTAAGAACCTCAGCCCAAAGGTCGTGTTCACGTCGTCGCACTAGGTATCGAGCCAAAGACTTGAAGAGGGAATTCTCATTGCAGACAGCAATGAGTTCATGATCACACAGCCCACGTTCATAAGCCACACAGGCCAAGTGTGGGTCCCTCTTCTCACAGTACTTTCCTACCACCTTGCTGTCATAGAAGCGGTTCTCTCTACCAGGAAAAATAAGACTATCAGTGAAAACTTCACATCATCACTATTCTATTATTATAGCAAAGCTACTCTCCCTTATGAGGAAAGTACAGTCTGAACTCAAGGAATGCAAGGGTAACCACCCCTCTTCTTATCCTTCAGTCTGCTGTCTCACCACAGATGCAAACATATCATACATTGAGATTACCCCTGACTTCATTGATTTTATCAATATGGGGGATCCATGGTTGTGTTGCTTTTGACACAATCCAATGTGTTCCACTCTCATTCCCATATACAGAGATAAAGAGATAAGAATAGTGTTGCCAGAGGCATAACTCTGGTTTGCTGAGCCATACATACTAATTCCTGCTTTCCGATCACTCCCATTTGAAGCATCATCAGCTGCAGGACTTTTTCCATTAATACCTTGTCATTCTGGGTCAGACAATCATATAAAATACTGAAACAAATGACTAGATAGGTTAAAGGGGCAGGAGTTGGTAGGTAATTAGCTTGGCTCCTGTGGTAGGGGACCAGGAATCGAACCCAACCAAATTGACTTTCCAAATTTCCAAGTACAAGCCCTGGCATGCTTAAGGGATTACCATTGATTACTAGACAGACCATATAATGAGAGTGGCCAAAAAAACCTGAACCTGTTTTTCAGAAATTTTCATTTTTAAATTCTTTGAAAATGAACAGCCCAATTTCTTGCATTCAAACTTTCATTTAAAATTTGGCTACCTTTTGGACAAAGGATAGTGGAGAAATTAAATTTTTTTGAAGGGCACTCTGAATTTTCACTGCTCATATCTGAACCACCCCAGAGGCTAAGCTCTATCATTACAAACATTTCAAGTCATCTTTGTTTCAAACAACACTTTCTGATCTGTTCCTCTATTGATCGATTGCATAATTTACTGATTGCTGGGAGCTTGCGATCACTGTTGCCTGTTTGATCAACCTTTTGCAAAAGCAAATTGATACAAGAGATGCTGCTGTTTTTATCAGGGAATGCCTCCACTAGTTTCTTTGCCCCCAGTGTTTTTCTTTCCTTAGCACTTCAATGGCTGCTCTGTCTTTCTTTGAAATAGGCATCTGGAAACAATTTTCAGGGGCAATAATTAAGAAAACTAATCCAATACAGCAAACAGGGGAAAATGAATAAGATGTGATGGATCACTTTGAGGGTGTTACTTACAATGTGCATACTTTTGTCAATTTTAAAACTTTTGGACCTCTTGAATGCAATCTTGCTCTAATTTTCCTAGCTTTTCTTACTAATTGATATTTGGAGTGCATGACGCCACAGAGCCAGAAAAAAAGAATTGACACTCAGCTGCCATGACACATTGACAACAATATGCATTTTGCACCAACCCATTGTGCTTTCTGAGTAGTGAAAATTCTGAGTGGTCTTTAGAAAATTTTAATTTTGCCATTATCCTTCATCTAGATAAAGCCATTTCAAATTTTATTTGAAAGCCAGATATAGATGGAAATTTGCAGGCAATAAATTAAAAATAAATGTTAAAATTCTGAAAGACAGGGGTCCAAGTTTTCTTTGGGCCACCTTGTATATTGAAAGTCTTCCAAGCTACTAAATGAGTTATCCCTTTGTCGTGTGCTGTCTATGCCTGCTGCTGAAATTTATTATCATTTCTGTGACTGATTTTACAGTTTGAAATCACATAGTTTCTTAATGACCACCTTCAGACATTCTTGTTTTGTTTGTTTTTTCCATGAAGAAGTGAAGATATCTTCATGTTCAAACCTTTAGGAATGGAACAGTGTCAAGAGGAACATTGGACAGTTGAGAGACTTGATACTTGCATAATGATACCATTAGTACAAGACCAAAGTATTGACTGTCTCAAAGGGTGTGGCATAGATCAAGAGTGGGAGATTGGTAAGCATTCCTAAAGATGGCTTAGCAGACAAAGTTGCCCTTCTAGCAACACTGCTCTCATCTTGGCATGGCCACACTCCTAAGAAAGAGAGTGGTATGAAAATTGCATCATGTCAAAAGCCACACATCCATGGATATTTAATGTTGATGAAATAAATGAAGAAATACATATATTCCATCAGTGGTGACAGCAGACTGAAGGCAGGAAAGGGGCACGTGGGTGGTGACATATTGAACCATAACTAAGTGCAAAATGAGCATTGGCTTGTGTTATTTATGAACTACTGAAAGTCAGAGCATTGAGTAAGCCTTAAAGCATGCTTTCCCAGTATAGAGGTCTGCTGAAGCTCACATACTGTGGTCAGGTCACAAAGTAATGGAATTTACCTAAATAGTCAATGCTTAATAAGCCAGCAAACTCTTTCAAATATGATCTAATGGCAGAACCCCAGCATATAAATTATGAGATGTTAAGAGTGTAAATATGAGCAACTGACCTCAAGAATCTTTCTGGGTTATTGTTAGAATCAATGTAAATTTTGGCCAGTGCATTGTGGGTGGGAGGATCCTGGGACCCCTCCTGAACCCTTCCCTCAAGCCATGGAAGGAGAAGTTTAAGGCGATTCCGCTTTTCCACTTCCTCTACCAACTCATCAGTGGAGAACTGGCCCCGTACAACATTGAGCAGCTGCTTGATTACATCCTCTGAGCAGTCTACATCCAGCAGGCCTCCAATCACCACTGGTAGACGGGAAGGGTTCACCTGCAAGGACATAGCTCATCATTGGCTGTAATAAGAAAGTGCAACAGCCAGCACACAAGTTTTCCTACCTTCTGCACGTAGATCTCAATGTACTTTTGGAGATTGTTACGGTATAAATAGAGGACAAGGTCATGAACAAAGTCGAAGCGGTCGCAGACTATGATGAGGGGGAGCTGGTCAGTGAGCTTAGCCTCCTTGAGGAAATTCTTCACTCGTTCTGGGTTGTAGCAGTTACTTTCACGGCAGATACGCTCCACCTCCTTGATCTGCCCAGTCTTGCAAGCAGCCTGAGAAGGAAGAAAACTCACCAAAATGAAAGGCTCTTTGATAAGTCATATCATCACATTTTATTTTCGTAGACTTTCAGATGGAAAGTGGAATGTTCCTCTGAAGAAATAAGAGCTACAAAAAGTGAAAAACCTGCATGAGTACTTGCTGGAGAAAAACCTTTTGTACACCTTCATCTTTATTATATCATCACAGCTATTGCAAAAGTTCCACAGGTTATGTTTATTCATTAGCATAATTATTCTTAAGGACATCAGCTGTTTTTCCCTATTTACCATATTTGCAATCTGTGGCAGGTATTGGGCAGATAAAGTTGATCAACTCACTTGAATGTACTTGAAGTGGACTTCAGGTTCCTGGCTGAAGTTGACAATAGATCCAAGAAAGTAGAACAGACCCTCATAGGACTTGAAGGACTCAAACAGGTCAATGAGAGCCTGAGTGCCTAGTTGCTCATGGTATTTGGTGGAAATTTGGACAACAATCTGAAGGTTCTGACGGATGTTAGTCTGAAGCATGACCTTGAGGCATTCCAGGGAGTCCTCAACTGACAGTGTGCCAAAGTAATTCACCAGCCAGTCTGGGCTAAGGAGATGTGTGTGCACTACAGCTCTCTTGATGTCATAGAGATCTGTATAATGTTCCAGGGCTCGCTGGAAAAGACCAGCCTTTTCACACAGCTGGGCGATGTGTGCACGATCATAATGTGTGAACATCTGGTTTCCTAAAATTGCATCTGCAACCTGTAAACAAGATTCAAAATGCATATAACTTATTCCTGATATCTCACCAAAGAAACTCTGAATCTGTCTGATAATAAAGTTATTTCCCCCCCCCCCTTATGTTTTAGTATTTTCTGGAATGAGTGAGTTGGACAATTCAAATATATATCAACATCAAAATATATGGTGCAAAAAAAACCCTGATATAATAAAAGAAACATTTATGGATTAGTGGAAGGGAGACCTGGGGAGCAGATATAAGGTTCATTTCCAAGAGTCGAGTTTGTAGAGGACCTTCACTGGGCCGATTATTCTTCAATGCATCCAACAGGAATGCTGTACATTGCTGTACCATATTCTGCTCCATGAACACATCTACAATCTGATGAAGACAAAATATATGGCATTCAATTCACTGTCAATAACAGGAGTCAATTGGGAGTTATTGTGACAACATGAATGCAAGTCAGACCTGATTGATGTCAGCAAGAGGAGGATCATCCTGGACAAGCATTTGGGCAAAGGAAGCACCCTGGTCTGGACTGGCACGCATGACACTTCGCAGCAGAAAGATCCAATCAGGTGTGTAATTGACCTTCTTGGCATAGATGACAATCTTCTGGAACTGGCCCGTCTCAGCAAAACATTGGATTACCTATGAAGCAATTCAAATGCATCAGTTTCCAGCCAAGAACAACTTCATTAAATTTATTTTGTTCTAGCTATCTCCTAAAAATTTATTACTTCTTCTTATGACATGTGATCTTCATTTTCAAAATATGCTTGTCTTCATACACCTACCATATTGTGGTAATGAGGTGATCTCCCTCATAGGTCATCAGTGATGTCCTGCATGAATATTTTCTAGCTATAGGGTGCTTGAAAATAAAAAACTGTGTCAGATAATATTTTACAAATATATTGATAGTATAATTTATTTGATTGACCCAAACTTTAAAACATGACTAACAGAAATGAGAGTTTTGCATCAAATCTGAAGGAAATTAACCCATTGTGCCAATTGCTACACAAGCTCAAACTTGAATTATAAAAAAGGCACTGGACACCCCAGTTGCCATCTGCCTCAGCTGGTGCAGTGAGCTGTTGAAGAGGTAGGAGCAGTTGTTTTAAGCCAAGAGGATAATTCAAATTCTTTCAATTATCTATACCTAGTTTGATATTCCAAAAATCAGGCTGATCCAATAAAATAACTTTCATTACTATAAAAAAAAGAATTAACAAATGGACAGTTTTTTTAAAACACCATGCATAAACAAAGCTCCCAATCCACATAGTGTTTCAGTACCATTGAGACCATAGAATTTCAACATTTCACAGGAACTTGCACCTTGAAAACTATGCTCTAAAGGTACTAATAATTAAAAAAACCTATTTCAACGATATGGTGAATGTTTTCAATAATGGGCCCTTGTGCAGAAGGAACTTCAGCAACTTCAGGTAAATTATAAAAAGACACATTTGTAATATAATGGGACTACATGTCATACAGCAGGTCAGGCAAAGACATGTGATGTTTCACAGTCACAAAATTTTATTGTAGGGGTTACTTAATGTCTAAGAAATATATAAATTAGTCTCATACCTAGTGCCAACTTATGGTGAATATCAGGGGAGATATCCTAGAAACAGATTTGGTCACCTTCATGACATACATAAATAATTCTGTTCTCCAAGCAAAAGTCCATGGGCAAGTCTTAGGGAGGTATCTTCACATCATTACTTCTTTATATCTAAGTACCAGTGACGTGATCTCTACGAGCTGATCATCATATCCCAAAGTATCAACTTATTTTGCTTTCTGATTAAATGAATATTCATATTCAATGCCTTTAATGTTTCTAACACACTTAGTATAATACTACTGGTACTATTTATGAGTGTGCTCAAGTTGTATCATGTCTAGGAAGATTACTTGAAGTAAATCAGGGGTTCCGCTAGGTTTCTTGCAGTAGGGGTCCCTGGGAACCTCAGGTCTGGAAGGGTCCCCTGATAGTTAAGGGGGTTACTTTCCAAGTGAAGCACAATAGAAACTTGAAGGGTTCCCCAAAAGTATTGATAGAAGTCCAGCAATCCATGTGCATTTGCCAACTTAACATAACCGAGTGGTATGATATTCAATCCAGCAGTCTTAGGCCTTCTGCCTATGCATCCCAGGACCCCCGGGACCCCTGGGCAGGAGGCTAGAGCAAGAATCTTAGTGCAACCCCAGTAAATAATTAGGCTACATACCTTGTTGGGTACATTGGCCCGAAGATAAACGGAAAGGGCCAATGTAGCATCAACAGGGCGCACTAAATCCCCAAGCTCTTCAGAGCAAGTCAGCTTTTCCTCCTTCAGCCACTTTTCCAATAGCTGCTTTTTCCCTTGTTGAAGCACTGGTCGACACAATTCCAGGGATTCCACTTGGTTCAGACGACCCTGCAGATAATTTTTTAAATTATACTTAGCAAATCTTTGATGGGAAATTCCAGATTAAAATGCTAGCATGTGCTCATTTTTCAGACCTGGTCAAGCAGGATTGAGAAATACTGAAGTAGAGGAGCAGTTTGTCCCGGTGTGGTTGGTACAGCTTGGAACTGCTGGATGGTAGCTGGAGTTCGCAAGATTCCTTTTGGTGCACTTGCTGCCACTTTGGCAGCCTCAGCATATTGCTTGTTCTGGAAAAGGGTGTTGAACCGATGGACAAAGAGTTCATCAGCCCCGCCAAGGTTATTTCGTACAGCACAACGCAGGGCCAGATCTGGGTTTTGAAGGACATTGGTGATGTAGGGGACCACTGTCTCTTCATCCAGGGTGACAGACAGAACCTTTGGATGAATCAAGAGAAACATTTATTCAATGACAGATCCATATTAGATTGGTATTGGATTTTCAAATTTGCAGTGAACACATTGATGTCAGTGGTCAATAGGCTCACCTGTCCCTTTCTATTCACTCCAATAATTCCTCCACTGGTCTCATGCTGAGCTGTCACAAAGATGGTGTCACCACTGATGCGATTCATATAGATGCAAGTGCCCGATTCGATGTCATACAGGTGCACATAGCCATACTTGGTGATCAGGTAGATTACATCATACTTGGAGCTCACCTGCATTTAAAACTTCTAGTTAAATCATAAGTCTACTAGAAGGAGATATACTCAATTCATTTTATAGAGTGCAAAGTATATTAGCCTAAAAATGATTCAGCTGACCTGCATTGCAACTGGGAAGTCATTCTGGGCCTCAGGTGGAAAGAAGACATCAACCTGTTTCTTGACAAAGGGCTGGTTTCCTGCAGGGGGCTGGCCAACCTCAATGATGTGAAGCTGGAAAAATAAAAATTATAGCATTCTGCTATGCTCATACAAATACAACTTATACATTCTTCACTGAATCCATGTCATTTCTCACTTTTCCACCCTGTGTGCCTCGCACTGCAAAACAGAAAAGGGTTGAGGGTTCAGGGTTGGCATCCATCTTGAAAGTGGAAAATGCAGCTGCATGCCCCTCTATTGGTTGGCTAACTTTCCTCTCCACAGAATAAAGCTGCATGGCTCCTACAACTCGATTTTGCTGTTGCAGTGGAGAAACAAAAAAGTACGATGGGTCTAGCTGATAATACAGAAAATGAAAAGTAGCTTAAAATTTTCTTTTACAACTCACCTGAGCTGTGATACCAATGAGGAGTAGCCAACTCTGCTTAGGGTCTGTTCGATAGTTTATGATCTGGCAGCCAGTCAAACTGGAATGTCTTTCAAACATCTTCTGAGGGGTGGAATCCCCTAATGGAAGACAATGAAAAGGAAAATTAGTCACAATAAGCTTCATGAAAGAAGTGGGCCAAGTTAACTATCACATGTGGTTAAGCCATTATCTTTGCACCTTCCATGCTCCAATGGTACACTGCTGTTTCTGTGACCAAAGAAATGGTGTTGACTGAGATCCATTTCCAGAAAATTATGTCTTCAGGCATGGTGTGAGCCTTCATCTTGCTCTTCATTTCAATGTTGAAAATTTGCAAGGTCTTGGAAGCTATAACATAAGCACAAAATGTGTTAAAACCCTTGTTATAGGCTTGTTCAGGCAATCATGAATCTAAAAAATAACCTTTCAATGCGATGACTTTGCTGGCTGGATTCATGATAGCTGAATCTGCTGATATAGGTCTCCGGATGGGATTAGTGGCATCATTCATATCAATGATGACTACTTGGTTTGTCTCTCCAACCTTCTCTCTTACGCATATGAACTTGTCTGATTCCATAGTGAGATTGTTGAAGCTGATGTTGCTGGGATTTATACCCACAGATGGGAGCTATAGGGTAAAAGAGAGCAGGGAATGCTTTCAGTTCCATAAAGTTAAAGTTCAACTACAGCCTAACTTAACTTATCTACAGGGTCCATGGACCAGGGCTAAATCAGCCATCATGGAAGGGAACAAAAAGTTCATTTGAGAAGCAATGTCTCTATAGTGTCTAAAAGCCACAAAAAGTCCAAATATCCTCTGGAAAAACCACAATCACATGGACCCAGCAAAATTAAGTAGGGAATTTGGGCAAGTGATTTTTGATGGGGGGAAAAAAGAAATAGAACATGTATAAATCTTCCTGAAATTGAAATTCCTTCCATTTGCTAAGCAAAACCAACTGCTTTTTCCATATAAAATATATATTTTATATGGCTTGAACAAGGAGGATACAAGTCACATTCTCCTAAATTTTGGGAACTGGACCATATCACAATATAAAAAAAAAAACAAACTACAAATACTTTGCCTAGCTCAGACCATTTTCCCAGCAAGTAAAACACAATACCACTATCATCCTCTTGTATACTTTGAGCCATATAAATATAAAGAACATCCAGGAATTCTATATACCTTCACTGCAGCAGAGGTACATACTTTAAAGAAAAATACTATGAATTGATGAAGCAGATTTTACATAACGTTCATTCTTGTCACATGTTTTCAGGCAGATGAAACATCTACCATGAGGCCTGAACAAGTAGGGAAGTCTTTAACACATTGACAGCAGTGGCAATGCTGGCCTATTGATTTTCCCATTCAGAGAGGTGCACTGGAGCGCCTCGTGGCAGTCAACCTGTTAAATGACTTGTGGAACCACTGTCCTTGCTTTATAACTCCTATGATGAGAAACAAGCACTCCACAACACTCCCATCATGGCACAAACACTATGCCTTCAATGAAACCCATCTCTTGTATCTCATGGAAATTCCATCATGGCTCTTTGAGGCAAGTACCTATGAGACCAAATCTTCATTTCCTTCCCTTCATGCCCTTACTCCTTCTTAACATTTTTTTTGTTTCTCTCCCATTGGCTAGAAGAATTTGCTTCATATCACTCCCACATCATGAATATAGGAGCAGTGGGGTCTACCAAGATTCCCTGTTCTTGCAGGCATTGAATAGCACTCACCTCTGTTCTAATCCTAGCAAAAACTCGCAATTTAATGTCTTGAATACCTGAATGGCACTGGGACCAAGCTAGTAATTTGGCTACACCAAATTCAGCTAAACTTGGGATGCTTCATTAACCAAGAAGCCAGGTTTGTTGAGCCACACCATACACCAAAAACACAACTTTATACAGATGCTCCCAGTGAAGTGGCTTCAAATGACACTTAAGAGGTGAAAGGCAAGGCAAAGGATGGACAACCAACGAACCAGTGAACAAGATCACACGACATGCCACGTGGTATGTTGTAGTACACGACTGGGTGTAGATCAAACCTGACACGATTACCTTCCTTCAGTCTACTTTATCTTAATATTTCCATGTTATGCTATAAGGAGTGAAGTGCAAACAAAATGAAGTCTGTGCTGGGAAAAATGTGCATGCAGCATCCACATATTGAAGAAACCCCCTCATCATACTCAGAGCTTTGGTGACAGGTCTCCTACAAATTGCAACTTAATTTGACAAGGACTAAATTTTAAAATTGCAAGATGTATGATGACAATAGTTTCTGAAAAGATTGATTATTTAATGAAACTTTGACATTGCCTCATTGCGCCTAACGTCACGACATATAAGTCCAAATGAGGAAATGAATTTCGTGATTAAATCAAAGAGGGCGTTTGCTGCCATTGATTGCAATCAACTGTCGGAAGGGAACCACAGTGAATTGGTAAGGTCATGGCGACTCGATCTAAATACACATCTAAGCCGATATAAGCTGATCGAAAGAAGCCAAGAAAAAAGCCGACCTGGATGTGCTCCTGAAATCGGATGGGCAGAGCTTGTTGAGACATCATGAATTTCCTTTCGCAACTCGACTAGGCCTCAGAAATACACAGGTAGGTCTAGGCCTCCAGTCATTAAATTTCAGCACAGGTAAACCAGAGCCGGGAGGCGGACGTGAGGGAGGTGAAATCACTGGCGATGCCACCCCTCGAACTGCCGACTGACCGACACCGTCATCAACCAATGAAAAATCCCGATATCAATATGGCGACATGGTGGTGCCGGATGGTACCTTGAAACCGGTTTTCATTCCATGGTTTTACAGGCACCATCTCCTAACGTTCTTCTGTTCCTGCTCTAATAAAGAATGATTACATTAACTTGAAGAAATTGGATCATATCATTTTGGCAAGAAGATAACAAAATCCTTCCCAAGGATGGAACTCCAAGGAAGGATCATGCTGATTAGCGCAGGGAAAGCGAAGAAAAGCATCATAAAACGTAGTACTGGCTTCCTTTATGAGAAGTTTCACATTCTTTAATTTTGACCACAGCTTTTTTTTGCAAACAACACTAAAAAACTGATCCACTGGTTATTTTGTTTTAAAAGAATGTGCTACGAACCGTATTTGGCAACCCTTGTTCCGGGCAGGAATACGATAGCCATACCGCAGGTCGCTGGTTGAGCGTGATTCCGCGCAACCCGTGGCGGGCGTCAGGTTTCACTGGATTCTCCTCGTTTCGTTAGCGTGACCTCCACAATTTTGTCAAAAACCTCTTCCAAAATGTTTCCACAGTGTCGAACCGTTCTTTACGTAATCCTTTTACGCTCCACGTCGCCTCACCGCGTTCCAAGCATTTGCTAGCGCTCTACGCCTGAAAGTAGCCTGTCTTTTTGCGCGGTCCAGGCTTTTGGTTGGGATGCCGGGTGACATTAAGCCCAAATTGACACCCAAAGTCGAGGCCGAAAACTTATTTAATATAGGTGTAGTCCTCTGAAGATAAATATTTTTGGTTGTACCGTGTTAATCTATTATCAAATTTTCAGCCACATGGCTACCGTATCGTCAGTGGAGGCATTTAATCCATTCTACGAGGTTTTCGTGGAAGAATCAGCCGCTAAATTGTGATGTTGCCTTTTTTCATGTGTTCAGGAGCTGATAATCATGGCAGTCACTTCACAACTTGAAGATTTAATAACTTCAACCGATTCCTGTTTTCCTTGACCATGCCTTCAGCTGTTGATGCCTCTAAGAATCTTGAGGGTCTAGTTGAGATCCATCTGGTTAATTTTCTTCCAAATTGTGCAATGGCTTTGAAATCACATCATTGAACTTGCCTCGAGGTGCTTCTTGAGATGTTTGGTGGCATGCGCTTGCTTCTTTCATCTTTTACCTTATCTGATTCCTCAATAGGCATCTATGGGAATAAGGTTATTTATCCCTAACTGATTCCCATAGGGTGCCTATATGAAATCAGATTCATTCATGTTTAACTGATCTGGTGCATGTCACCCTATGTTGATTTTTAACTTCATTCATATATTCATTGGTTGTCCAGCAAATTTCATCTAAGCTATTTTGAGCCCTGAAATGGGTATAGGCTTGGCCAGCCTGCCATATAACAGGGATCAATATTCTAATGACCCTTGCTGTTGAGATAAAATTCTGGAGAAATTATCTTTAAACCATGAAGGAATGCAAATGACAAAGGTTGAAAGAATGGCTTGGAATCAAACCTGGGCTACATAGGCTACCTACTAGTTAGGGCTTGCTAACCTTGACACAACCAAACCCCAGGACATTTAGTCACCCATGTCATTGCATACCTCACAGATGCTTTTTACTGCCCCTGGAGTATGAAATGCATGCTCTGACTTATCTCATTCTCATAGCAAACAGGACTTATACCAGATTATATGTTAAGGGTGGTATCAATGAGCTCCCATTTGTTAGCAGTGCTATGGAGAGCTCTACCTCTGATTAATCAATACCATTACTCTAGGACTATATGCCACAAGGAATAGAATAACAGGGGATATGGTGTCCTAGACATCAGGAAAACCCTGGATTCCATTATGTATGATGAGCTGGGATTTTCTGTTTTTAGAATTGAGCCATGCATTAAGGTGGCAACAATCCATGAACTTAGAGGATATATGAATCAGCCAAGTGGGAGGTTTGTAAAGTGTATCAAAGGACAAAGCTAATTTTAATATGTTGTTTCCATTAACCCTTTGTTGCATCAGAGTGGATTAGCAGAAATAATAAGATTTTGATCTCATTTTATGCAGTTTTTCAGCCAAATTGCACCAATGTCTGGTCTTGTAATGTAAATGAACAGTGTGTACATTTTTTCCTTGGATGGCATAGATCCCAAAAAATAAAATAAAAATATCACAATGAAAGTAAGAGGTTAGATATTCAGCTTAAGGAGGGTGGAATATGTATCACCTACCCTAAGTGTTGTTGAAATCCTAGATGCAAGGTTCATGGCACACATGAATAAATTTCCTTGCATTTCAAAATTCATGTGACTGTGTAATAACACAGTCACATGAATTTTGAATGGTAAATCTTTTTATTTTATTGTAAACTAGTATTTATCACAATATCAGTAGTAGTGTTCCTGTTTGGGATGTATCTGCATTATATGATACTGTTCATGTTTTACTGCTCTTTCCTGATTACTACAATATGCACACATGGCTGATTAGAAATATGAGGTTGTATATGCAAATTTTTCATCACCTAATGCAACTTCCTGGTGTTACTAGACCTATGTAGGAGAGGGTTGAAGAGAGCAAACCATTAATAAGAAGATTTAGGCCATAATGCTGAAACCTTTAGTTTAGAAACAGTCCTTTAAGAATACCTGAATTCCTATGGAGGAAAAAGAGCTTAGCTCTTTAGTTTAAAGGCCCTGTTATCTGGCCTATTATAAGAATTGTGCATTCTGGCCTTAGTGTACCAGATTTAGTCTAGTGTGACACCTCTGAACCATTAAGCCCACTGAGTACAAGTAGATAATGGGCAACCCTGTGGTGAATCTCCACATGGGAGTTGTGTAACTTCAAAAGGTGATTTTTCTTGCACTATTTCAGAAATGTATTGTGTTCCATTCAGGAATATGAACATATCATGGTTTTCAGGCAAAAAGGGTGACCTATAATCCAAAAACCAAGGAAATTAGGATAATACATCTTTACTTTTGTGAAACCAAAGTACAACAGACAGGATTCTAAAAATTATTTTTGCTAATGAAAATGGAATGAATAATGTTAATAAGTTGCAATAAGTTTAATCAATGTCCAAGCATTACCCTGGAGTAAAAACAGAATTTTATCTTTTATTCAGCCATAATTTGATTGGAAAGGAAATAAATATGGAAAATCATTCTGACAGAATACAAAGAGAAGTATTGTTTTTCTAAAATGGTTATATGAAATCTCCAATTCATGAGAATATGCTAGATATTGATGCTTGCATTCCTCATCTGTGAAAATTAAAAAATTAATAATTTTTACAGAGTTCATGCCCAAAGTTGGTGAGCACTAAATGTACTAACCACCTTTCATGGTAGAAAAATGAAAGCCAGGTTGCTTTTATAAATGTTTGATGTAAAATGGCCAGAGTAAATGAAGAAGAATCTAATGATTTTTAGAGGATTGATAGAAGTCATTGCGAAAAAAAAGAAAAAGAACTTGCATATGTTATCTGCAGTCTTGATTGCCAAAGAATTTTAGTGTAACATGGTTTTATTTTTTGTTTCACATGAAAATTCATTCCACTAAAAGACTACCACCTTGGCCCTGTCCTGTTCCACTTCAGGATTCCTGCTAATTTCCTCTGTTTTGGGTGTGGATACCTCACTGTGCAATTTCTTTAAACTGCCATATTGCCCTCCTCCTGCAATGAGTAAACAGTATTAAGTTTTCTCTAAATCAGGTATCTGATCAGGTTTCCTGACTGCCAGAAAGCAAAATTTTCAGGATGACATCAGGTGATCAAAACATCCCCACCTTCAAGTGTGTCTTGGTTGGAGATGGTGGTGTGGGTAAAACCACCTTCGTGAAAAGGCATGTTACTGGAGAATTTGAGAAGAAATATGTAGCCACACTTGGTGTGGAGGTTCATCCCTTGCTCTTCCACACAACTCGGGGTCAAATCCAATTTAACGTGTGGGACACAGCTGGCCAGGAGAAGTTTGGAGGCTTGAGAGATGGATATTACATCCAGGTAACTTTTTAGTCAGCCATCATCAGCTCCAAACAGAGATGAAAGTATTCCTATGTGAAAAAGAGGCCAAACATTCATATAATTTTTTTCCAGGGTCAATGTGCCATCATCATGTTCGATGTGACAGCCCGAGTGACCTACAAGAATGTCCCAAATTGGCATAGAGATCTGGTTCGAGTGTGTGAGAACATCCCTATCGTCCTATGTGGCAACAAAGTAGACGTCAAGGACCGGAAAGTGAAAGCCAAATCCATTGTATTCCATCGAAAGAAGAACCTTCAGGTACACTTCATGTTGTCTTTCCTTTTATTTTTAATTACTTTCTGGTTATGAGTTCTTGATGCCTAAGTCTCCCTTGCTGGACTTTCATTCTGTCCCTCTAACCCAGGAGTATTCAACTGGCGGCCCAGGGGCCGGATCTGACCCGCCAATTCATTTTTTCTGGCCTGCGAATTCCTCTCTAACAGTTGATTTCAGAAAATTGCTGCAAATTTCACTTGTTTGCATTAAAAATGTGGCATGAGATTTGTTACTGAGGCTCCCAAACACACCTGAACCAAATCACTTGATCCCTCCCAAATTGAGTTGGACACCCCTGCTTTAACCTGATCGTGCTACATGGTTGTAGATACTTAGCTTGGCCAGTATTTCAGGATGTAAGATTAATTTTCTATTTGCAGTACTATGACATCAGTGCCAAGAGCAATTACAACTTTGAGAAACCATTCCTCTGGCTGGCGAGGAAGCTGATCGGAGATCCAAATCTGGACTTTGTTGCCATGCCTGCTCTCATTCCTCCAGAGGTCCAGATGGACCCAACATGGCAGAAGAAGATCGAAGAGGACCTCAAGGTTTGTTGCCAGCCATATTCAAAGGCTACATTCCTATGTTTCATGATTGAAAATTCCATGATGAACTTTGTCATTTACCTCATGTTACAGGAGGCTCAAGATACAGCGTTGCCCGATGACGATGAGGAACTCTAGTGACCGAGGAGCATTTCTTTTTCATCACTGTGCAACTTCGTATTTTCTTCGTTCTTTCACAGCCCTTTCTTTCATCAGCATCCAAGCCTTCATATCTTCTACTGAATACCCCTTTCTTTTTATTATTAATATCTTTTGGAAAAAATCTGATCAGAACTGGCTCCTGGTACCTTGGCATGCTTCTTGACTTTGGCCACACAAAGTTTGTGCGCAATTCACGCAGAATGCTGTCGGGCGGAAACAAAAGAGCAACTAGGAGGCGTTTTATTCTAATGTGATAATCATTTCCCGTGATAGGTATGCTTCAGCGTGCGAGAGTGCGGTCCTCAAAATTCGTTTTCTACTATGGTTGAAACCCTGCCTCAGAGTTACTCATTGATGGAGGAACTTTGAGGCTGGCAGACGGAATGGCATTCTGTGTGAATTAGGGAATACCTCAAAGCTTGCTATCTGGTTCATTCTGTTTCCTGTTCCCATTCCCCATCTCTGTGCTCCTGAATAAATGGCATGATTGGACATTGCATTCATTCTTTTCCTCGATTAGAAAATACATGTGAGAAATCAAAATCTGCCACTTCGCTTGCGTCCTGTATAGCTGGAGTCGACACAGACTTCTTTCCCTTGCCGTCTTCTCCGTTCTTTCTTCTCGAGGATCCAGTCTCGGCTCTTCTTGACTGGCTTCCCACGAATCTCTTTTGCACGCTCCCTGACCAGAGGACAAAATGTAGCATATTCAATAGATTCCACAACAAATAATGGCCAAAATTATTTTTTGTCTAAAGTAATCATTTGACATTGATTTGGTAAAGAATTTTGCTAGCAAGAGTAATTTCTCTTTGTCAATACAGGATAATGAAGCAGCACTTGCTGTAGATGATGGAAAGCCTAAGAGTACTGAAAAGGTCTGTCTCACCGTTTACGGACAAATCGAGCATGCTGTTCTTCAACTGCATCAGGCACTCCAAGTGCCTTGGGTAACTTCTGACCACCTCCAGTCATCAGAACAAGATAAATCTTCTTGGCCTTTGTACTGTTAGGATAATCAACAACAAGACCACCAGTGAACCCAGCCTTCATTGCCTGCTGTGTGACCAACTCAATCTGGGAACTGTTTTCTGGGTAGAACTGGAACACAGCTCGGCTCCCCCGACTCTAGAGTCCTCATTTTGCTTTTAAAACATTCCAAATTCATCTAACAATATTTGGTGATAAGATATACTCACTAAGCAAGCAAAGAGAGAAGAGAAGAATTTGAAGAGGCGTTTTGGAGGGGAATGAGAAGTTTTGTCAGCATTACACAGCCATTGAAGTGCACTGATGCTGACAGCACCATCAAACATGGCTGGCCTGAGGGGAACTCCCTGCCCCATGTCTCCCAGTAATAGATCCCCTTCCACTTCCCTCTCCTGTGACACTCCTTTCACGAGGTCAGAAAGCAAGACATTAAATCAAGAGCTATATCAATAATAATAAAAATAAGCATCATTCTCGTGCATACATAACCCTTAGCAACTCTACTAAAGTGCGGCTCGTTGTCTGGTATTTATTCCATCAATTCACCTCCAAGATGCATAGCTTATGTCGGTGGCGTATGCAAGGGACTCGGGTTCTACAGTAATACCGGCTTTGCTCAGCGCCATAGCAATGTCGCCCAGAAGTCTCTCCTCTCCTCTGTTAGTCACTTGGGTGCCATAGTCCCGAATCTCCCCTTCCGAAAATCTTGCGTACGCCACTAGTGACTGTGCGATTCCAAGTCGATTTGATATGGGGTAGGAGCCACAATCAAAGTTGGAGGAAATAAATTACATATTGAGATAGGGCCTATTCACAGCAAGACTGGTGGGTTTTTTTTTCACACTTGAGGTTTTGTAACGATGCGTGCGTCCTCTCACGCAAGATGGGGTCAAGTGCTTCTAAAATGGTACCACGACAGTTGGGGAACTGAACCTATATATAATAACCACTGATGGTTCCAAGCGAAAATAAGTCTGGTGGCCTGTGGATAGGGGTTTATAACTACTCAGATCCCACAGTTAAGTAGCGGGATATGTAAACGAGGGCCATTATGGCGGCCGTCAGGTTAGTACATGTAATATTCCCAGGGCAATGATTGCAATTTCCGTGCCATGAAGGTTTAGTTTGTGCAAAATTTGTCAATATCAATCCGTGGATCTCGGATAAAATGAAGTGGTAAGTCCCATCGGGCACGAATATACGAGGGAGGTATGCAGTTGTGCCAGTGCTTCTAAGCGCTGGGGTAAGTGTATACCTTCTCTCTCCCCCCCCCCCCCCCCCTCCCTCCACTTCAACTAATAAAGACATGCATCATACCTTACTAAGAAAAACAACTTGACCTTAATTTGTCTAGCTTTTTTTTAAAGGTGTCTTGTGCCTCGTAGCCCAGGTAGGCATCACCTGTGACGCTTATTCATATCGCAAATATAACTTTTACATCATTCCCATATTATTATTATAAATAAATACAGCAACTTTACTAAAACAGTATTCCAACCTTATTAGAATGATGAGACTTTTATTCACAAGTGGCAGATTCTGAAAATCATCCTGGATCCTAAATTAAAATTGCATGGTGGTACTATCTTGAGTTTCAAACGTGACTTTTAAAATATTCAATTGATTGCCTTTCATCGCTGCATACCAATGTAATATAGGGAAATAATTGAGAATATTGCAAAACTTAAAAGAAGGCAACTGGGAAGATAAAAATAATGAATGAAAAATATTCAAGGAAACAGGTCTATAGAATAAAAATTGAGTTTCCTTAATGTTCTCTCAACTTCTTTTAAACAGCTTTTCTTTAAAAAGAATTTGAGGAATAGCTTCACTATTTTGCTCTGTACAGTATTACCCACAGAATATCTTCTATGGAAAGCAAAGCGATAATGATTTTCACACGATTGAACAGTTACAACAGAGCTACATGCAGTACACCTGACATGTACATTATTAGTTTAAATTGGGAGTAATTTAGAGCAAAGGGGGGGGGTTATATTTATCCAAATATCTGGGTTAAGTATATATTCCAGACCCTACTTCAATTCACTGGTCATTAGTACGTGGGAGTTGTGCATCTGGGGTGATTCCCACTTCGGAAGTGGAGATATGGATGCCCTCTACGGCTGCCTAATAGCATGTTTCAACATCAAAGAGTACTTGGTTACGAGGTAATGGTCCCACCAAGGATGATATTCCAAGAATAGCGTTTCGCACTAATGAAGTTCCTATGGATTGGAAAATATATAATGTAGAGCCGATCTTTAAAAGGGGAAATGAGAAGTAGGGTAAAACCACCAATGTTCGGACAGTTAAACCGGGATAGGATTGTAAATCGCTCGGCACGCCCTAATGGTACGATTTCTTTTTTTTTGCATCCGGCAGCACAATATGAGAAGGTATGAGTGTGATAAGGATTATGACCATCGAAGCCTTATAACTATCAATACTTCCAATTACGTGGGTGTCCAAACTTAGATGCGAACAAATGAAATGAAAATGAAGTTCGAACACAACGTAGTTTGAACACGTAATAAGTAAGGCGGAAATCTGCTCATGGCATGCGTATTCCCTTGTAGCAGTGCTCTACGTTCCCGAGTTTCCTGTGGAATAAGAACTGATCACAGAATTAATAATACCGCGTGGGAAGCGTTTCTCAAGTAAGGTCGTCTCCGTACATTTTCTTTCATTTCTCCTGTCCGCGACATTAATTTCTGCTCGATATTTCGAAATCGTGCTCAACGATCGTGGCCACCGCAAGTCTTTCGCTTTGTACGTGGTCATCTTCGGTTAAGAAGAACTCTCTCTGATGTCGATCTCGCAAATGCGTATTTATTAACAATAAACGTTAGAGTGTCCAAACTTTGGTACTGTCCGAACTTAGGTGGTTTTACCCGATGCCAGTGATTCTCTCGCTAGTATTTCGCGTATGATCGTGAACATCACGAGGGAACGTATGCTAGTGTATTGAAACTCAGTCATGAGAGCTTCCTGTAGAGTTTCAGGAGCGGCGCTCTTACGTCACTATTCTATCGAAAATTTTACGATTTGGAAACGGATATAACGGATAAGGGGAATTCGGTATGTGCAGCATATTTAGATCTCGCATTGCTTACGATGCTGTGCCCTACGTGTGATTGTTGAACTGGAGTCACACGGGACTCGAGGTGGAATGTGTGTGACTAACCGTCTGAAAGGCACACAGACGAATTTAAAATGGAAATCATCACGAAAAGTTGGGGTCGCGTGATGAATCCTAAGGACTCCGTCTCTCTATCATTTCTGTTTCTTGTCAACATCGATGACTTCCATCATAGGTTGGAAAAGTTTCCGGATCGATGTCATAACAGCCAAACGCTGCGTGATGCAGCTCTATTTGTGGTGGAGCCCGTAACTGGGGTGTGCACACCATGTGGCATTCTTGAAGGTCCCGTGCAAAGGCTAGAGCGATGCCTCGAGATGCATTTCCTCGATGCAACTCGTCGTAAAGGAACACGTCGCGTGCTGAGCAGCATCCCAACGGGAAATATTCTGCGCGTTTCGCCAATGCCTCCACTGAAACGCTCGTCGTCGACGTGGAATACTATTCCTTCCTTACAAGGGACACGTGTCGAGGCAACCCAAAACTTCACGTTCCCAAGCCTCTCGATACGCGAAACGTTCCTTTTCGATCAGTTGCACCAACGAGCAGGGCCGGCCTTAGGCATGTGCCACATGTGCCCCCGCCCAGGGCGCAAAATTAACTTGGGGCGCCGAAACGTGACCAAAGGTATACGAAGCAATAATGGATGCTACCCTCAATTTTACTTCAGAAAGTGAAAATGCCTTCCGTTTCGACGTCAATTTGAACGCTAAGGATTGACCCTTCTCCATTCTGGGGGACTGAGGGAGTCACTTTGCACAGGGCGCCGAAATAGCTAGGGCCGGTCCTGCCAACGAACATCTGGAGTCATCACGCTTCTCACATAGTGCTTGTGCTGTCCAAACTACTGTATGTATCTGTACTAGAGCCCTGCAAGGGCTGTGGGTCTGCCCGATCGGCCCGACCCGACCGGCGGACCGTCTAGGACCGAAATTCCCTATGTCCTTCTTCGGGTCGGGCCGAATTTTTTCACTTCATCGCTCCTCCGGTTTGAGACCATGAAAACTCCGCGTCACGACCGGAATCTTGTTTAAGCATGTAATCCGAGAGAAGGAAATACATTGCATGGTCATTAATGCGAAAAAAGTAAGAATGGATTTGAGACGGGCACGGAACAGTTGATGCCACTCGAGACCGGAATCTGTATGGCTGCTTCTCTTCCAAGAAAATTTCTCGTGTCGGTTGACATTCGACAACCTCTTGTTTTTGCTAAGAAACTTGTAATGATGAAAAAATATACGGGAAAGCATATGTTCGAGTGTTTAATTTTTGCTCGGGTTGGGTCGGGTCGGGTGCGGGTCATGATTTGAATCGGGCCTATCGGGTCGGGTAACAGAAAATGGGCCCGTGCAGGACTCAATATGCACTAGTAAAAACTTCATAAAAGAACTGAAAACTTTTTGTCTCATTAAATAAGCCTGCTCCACAAATGAATTTCACGTGGCGATATGGAATGCTATATGATGCAACTGTCGAAGGGTCTCTACCAATATTATGAGACGGTGAAGTCGTGTCTCTCACGAGGTCTTGACTCATGAATCACCAGCATACTAGATCATCCTTCGCGCATATATTCTCGAATGTCGTGTTACAGTAGCATGATACGTTCCAGCTCGAGTTTCGCATAGGTCACTGCCACGCTCCGTCCTTCATGACACGTGAGCAGCGACATCCGTAAAAACTTTTATTCCTTCCTGTCGTTCGCCAAGGATACTGGATTTTATCCGGCGGTCTATTACCAATCGCTCGTTGTTCCTCCCTTGTAAGACCATATTTAAGTTAGACCCATTTCTTTCAATTTTGGAGGCCTGCAAATAAGAGGGATTAAGGGGTTCACCAGGTTAGAAGAGTAGAAAAGGTTGGGCTACATCCCAGCGGGGGGTGGGGAGAGAGAGCCAATGACGTCACTGGTATACTCTCCTCGGCTGACCGATAAAATCTCCTTTTCCTAGTTCATTTCTCCTCTGTTAAAAATGTCACATCGGTTAGTTTTTTTCTAGTCAGTTTGCCTTGCTCTTTCCACCTCCATTCTATAGCCCTTGAACGATTGCATCTAGATTGTGACGCTGCCAGGTTCGTAGCATTCGCAGATGCCAGTCCTATTTGCAGTCGCCGCCCCCAAGAACATCTGATGATTTTTGGAGCCGGCGGAGAGAAACGTTCGTTTCGTTGTTTCAAAGAATCCTGGGCTGTGAAAGATCTAAGTGATGCAGTGGAAACGCGCGGAAAATGAAATTCCTGAAGTGGACTGAGGGAGGGATTCCAAAACAACCCTTTTGGGTCGATTGTCATCTTTCGCCGAGATGATCCAATCGAAATTCCAAGTCAACCATCGAGTATCCCGAATATCTGTAAGAACGGGGCTGTTCACCTGGATTCTCTCCATAAATTCTGAGTCGCTCAGCAAGGGCAAGAAGGTGAGGAAGAATTGAAAGTCTTTCGTTGAAAATGTGAGAAGGAATATGTTCATGAAAACCACGTGATTTGCCATGACCATGACAAACAAGCTCCCTTCCTCTGATACAGCAACACAGAACGAGGAAGTCTGACAATGAACGCTTATTTTCATTGCCACTTAAAAAGGGCAAATGACACATGTTAACAATTTCAGTAAATAATAATATATTCTCGCTGAGTCGCATCCCCCTCAAACTTTTCAGTACGGAATCCTCCCCGTCTCTTTTCCATTCGATGCTTTCCCTTCCTCATTTAAGGGATTTTTTTTTAATGAGCGATTGGTTACGAAATGTGGACATTATGCTTCAAATAATATCATTACATCGGAGGAAAACCAATGGCGAGAATGGAGCAGTCGGGGCTGGTGTATACCAGTGACGTCATTTGCCCTAGGGCTACAACCGCCATTATTCGGGGCTTCGCTTTCGACCCAACCTTATCTACTCTTCTAACCTGGGGGGGGGGGGGTTCAGAGGCGGACTAATAAATCCATAAGGAAGCTATGGGGATTGTCATAAAAGCGGCATTTAGCCCGGCCGCACACCGGTGAAACATTCTCGTGAAGCTTCTATCACACACGCTTCATTGGAGGAAGCATAACAGGTTGAATGGGTGGAAGCATGCTTCACCAGAGTGCGGCACCCAATTGTTCCCATGTATTCCATCCTATGAAGCATGTACGCTTCACGACAGTGGCGCAACCAGCCCTAAAGTTTGGGGGGGGGTTCGAAGTTCTCATGACCTGTCTTTCAAATGTCTCCGAATGCAAAGCGTTATCAAATAATATGTATACACTCAACAAAAACGCGAAACGGCGCGAACACGCGAACAAAGAAAATGAAACGAAGAAAAATGTTATGAAATGATGGAAACGGAATTTGAACTCTAAATGATAAAAGCGCATTCGATATTTGAAAAAAGCTTAAAATGAAATAAATTAACTTCGGGATTAATCCCAAATATCACTGCGCAGACATGTAACTGAAAATTCGTTAACCCGTACGTGATTCACGCCTTTTATTTGAACTGTCGTCCTTCCCCTTTTCAGAAAAAATTCAGTAGCGTCACATGTGCAGGGCGTTTCCTTCACAGGTTCACTTTACTAAAGTGAGTAGCTATATGTGACTGGCTTGACCTTAACCTTTCACCTTCTATCTTTGTGCCTTACCCGCCCCGCTCTCAGGTCGTTTGCTCTTTCTGCATCCCCCACCCTTGGGGAAGAGGGGGATGGAGAAGTATAGAGATACCAGAACCTCCCCCTTGGTTGCGCCCCTGCTTCACGAGAATATTTCACCATGCGCGGTCGGCGGAGAAGAATATTTTTAGGCATCCTCACGGAGCATGGGGAGGGATATGTCCATGCCAACCCAAAGGTGACCTTGGTCATCGAGGCATTGACCGGAGAGGCCTGACCCACATCCAAGGTCCAAGATGAGACATGTTTCATCTTCAGGTAGGGACAGAAGTTCGATGGCACGCTCTGACATCTGCACCTGGATTTCCATCATTCGTGTACTGCAAAGTACCAATAAAATCCATTGCATTCTCCCCTTAAGAACTAGTAAGTGAGAAAAAGGCAGGACTTGCTTGGTAGAGTACTTCATTGCCTCATCCTCATTGTAGTACTGAAAGAGTGAAAGAAAAACAATTACTAAAAAGGTTTTGATAAATATGATTATGGAAGGAACATAAAAGCACACTTACCACCTCTGGTGGCGCCTGATGTTCGGGGCGCTTCCCAGATGACATTTTTGCAAAATGAAAGTAACTAGTTCACAAAGGACATCAGTTGAATATAAACGCACCATTGTTAGTCATTATATTACGCAGGAGGCATAGCATCGGAGGAAAGTCCAGCTCTTTCATATGGAAGAGTCCAGTGAGTCTGATTTGGACCATAAGTAAAAATTAGATTACACTAATAAAGTTGTATTGAATTTCATCTTTATTGTAAAAGCTGGGAGTGAAAATTTCTATCAGTTGAGAGGTGGAGAGAGATCCATTTCATCATACCAAGCCATGTCCCGGTCCACATCCTCAAGGTCGGCCTGTGGAAAAATTCATGTGGAATAACAACTCAGTGGCACAGTTCAACATTACACACAATTATGGGAACTTACAGGATAGTTTCTCAGGGGGAATCAAGGGATGAGTGGGAATAGGAGGAAGAGGATGAGGAAGTGGATACAAGAGCTGGAAGAGGTGGGTAGGAACGGTAGGGTCTGTGCCCAAGCATTTGTTCTTCATTTATCACCATTAAAGGATGATTCCCATCTAAGACTCCCTACATTCCCCTAATTTTCATTAGCTCCCATATTCATAGGTTAATATGAACACAGAAAACAGAAAGGGATGGATGAGATGGACTGATTCAAAAAGTTAGTTTGCAACCTCATGCATATTCCTTTAACCCTTTCAGACCTGAATTAAGGCCACTATCTGAATAATATTCTTTTTTGAACTTTTGAGCTCTTTTGTGATTGTAATTGAAATTTTCATGCTTTATATGTAGTTTTTATATTTTGTATAAATTTACCATATCATACCACATATTATATATTATACATTTAATTAAATAACTGAAGATTACAAAACTAATGGGTGAAAGAAGGCCTCTGATGGAACTGAGCCATGCATAATTGTGCCCATTGTAGCGTAATATGGAGGGCAAAGTCACGAGAATCCTAAGAAATTGCCATAGACACAATGTAAATGCAATGTCCATTGGAATGGGTGCCAGGTCTGAAAGGGTTAAAAAATCTAATTGTGCACAGTTTTTTCCATCCCTATTTGCAACAACTTAAACTGTTAAAAAGTGATCCTGCAAAGAATCAAATAAATGTAATATAATGAGGCTCTGACCTTCATTTTCCATACATTTCCTTCAAGTATAAAAATTTGTATACAAAGCAATTTCTCATTGGGTTTAGGATTGGATAGGATTCTATGTTTACAACTGATTCACTTACCAAACTCTCCTGAAAAGGATGTGGGTTGCAAAAGGTAGGTTTGATTTCTGAAATCTGGATTGAATGACCAACAGAGCACTTGTTCTCACCTCAATTTCAGATTCTGGCAACTCCTCATAAGATGGATCACCTGTGTCTGTATTTCCTTGCTCCATCCGCTGCAGTCCTTCCATTGCACCCATGTTCATTGGATCAAGGCTAAATGAGAGTACCGGTATTTTGATATTTTTTTTAGCACCACAAAAAGACAACTTGCATTCACAATAACTGCATAGAGTTTCGTCTCAGCCTCCATGGGAAGCTGTAAGCACCACTACCTCATACTCGCAGAAATGTTTTGGTTTCAGACAAATCAATAATATTTTTATAGCAATGCTGCTTGAAAATAAAATGCTCATACTTCCTTTTTACTTCAAGGCTTCATATTCTGCTTTTCCTCTTTTTTACCCATTTAATGCTAACACTCCCATGACAGAAGCAGGTGTTGGAAGAGTTCCTAAATCTGCTGTGATTGACAAAAGAGAAATTCTCAGAACTAAAGGTATTAAAAGACATTCAGCAACCCTCATTGATACTTTTATCACTGAAAATATCTTGATTGTCAATCACTACAGATAATTTTTAGGAACCCTTACAACACTTGCTCCTTCTATGGAAGTTTTGGCCTTTGGTGGATTAATGACATTTTCTCATGTCTCACTTTTGGATCATATTCAATACCATTGACATAATCCTTAACTTCCCAGGTATCAGCACAATTGACATTTGTCTTCTCCTCAGTTTGACCTCCACATCATCAACATGGTCATCTGTAACAAAACACTCACAAATTGTGGGAATTTCTATCCATTTAAGCTCTACAACTCTACATTCTAGGAAGCAATAGGTGCATCTATCTTGGCGATGAAGACATCAATGAAACAAAAGTTTCAAACAACCATCCCACATGAAATTTTTTAGTTTTACCATTAACAACACAGCTCTTCACAAATACTACACTTCCAATAAAATTAGGAGAGCCTCTCCCATGTTGGCAATAGCCTCAGACAACCATCCATCGCAAACCCCCCCATATCCCATCCCCTTCATTCCTCCCTTTAGAAAAACTTTGAGAAACCAGCCATATATGCCATTTTCTGTCAAACCCATGAAGTCCTCCTGATAGATGATGACACAGCTGGCTACCTTACTGTTTCTTTCTATTGCCATTGCATTCCTACCATACTTGATTTAGCAACTTAAGTGATCATCATTACTCACTGGAAATGACTGTTAAAATAAATTTCCAGTATAGAGCTGTTCTATTATGTAACATACCAGTTCTTCCCAACATCTTTAACCTTTTGACTGCTACTGATGCCATATGGCGTCAGTCCCGATGGCCCAGCAGGGGATTTAAATGTTAACTACCATTTTAAAGGCCAGGTATTTAACAACTTAAATGGACATCATATATGTATGTATCACTCATTATGGCTCCACATTTAAGTAAATATCAAGAACAACTGAAATTTGCATTTTATGGGGGAAAACCCAGCACAGGGGGTATTACAGGCCCATAAAAACCCAGCAGTCAAAAGGTTAAAAGATGTTGACCATGACTGAAGACAATGCTAGTATTCCTATCTGGATCATGAAGCTGCTGCCCTCCCATTCTGACTGTCCCATGTATAGGATATCTTACAATGTTACATGTTCCAAACCTGTGTAGATGCATGTTTGGTATTCTCAAATTTTGGGTGTTTACACTTCAGATCACCAGCATCCCATTGCAGATCTTGTTTTCTGGTTTTTCCCTTATTACATCTGTCCCAAGAGAAAAAAAAAAATTCAGCAAAATAGCTTAAGTGATTTCCTTGTCAGCTACCAAGGGAAGCTCTAGTCTACATAATCTTGTATTCACACAAGCATTTTCTTGCCTTAGATGGGAATTACCAATTTTCTCTTGACAGCTCTGTAGGCCATGCTCTTCCATGGACAATTTCTCACAAAAGAGAACTTTCTACCATGAGGTGAGGGAAAGGGAGGAGACCATAGGCCATTACCTGAGAGCTTTTGTGTAATGTTCAACAGCCTCATCCTCCTTGTGGATCTTAATGAGGAGATCAGCCAGGGTCTGGTGGACAGAGCTCATGCTCCGGTGTTCACTTGCTTTCTTCAGGACCTCTATCGCTGCCTCATAGTCAGAGTTCTTCAACATCCAATCGTCACTTTAATTTCAATCCATCAACCAACCCTATCCTCAATCATGGATAAAAATATTTAAGGGGAGACCATGAGCAAAGAATTGCAATATACATATATATACACATATTGCATACAATGACTATTTTCCAAACTACTTCTACCATATTAGTGCCAGAAACCTGAAATTTTGCATGGATACTCAGAAATCACAAACCTCAAATGTGTTGGGACCAGTTTTGATGATTATTTTTGATGACTGAAGTAGGCAGCTAAGAGACAACTGTCACCAAATTTTTGAATAATATGACCGAAATTGTTCATTTTTGCATCAAAAAATTGGAAAATTCACTTTTTTGCTCCCAACAAGCTGTAGCTGTATGTTTTATGAATCTGAAGAAATTAGGTTGATTTTTTTAACCACAGCTTGGGAAATGCCGGATGTACCAATAATTTAGTTCTTTGAGAATATCTCAGAAACTGCTGGAGTATGATGTAAAAATTATGTTGCAATAAGATCTTTGGAATACAAGCTTTTCAAAGGTACCAACAATTTTTACTTTTTGCAAAGCATCTCAATTTTTATGTTTTGCTCATAGTCTCCCCTTAAACATACAAATGCAAGTTGTGCATGAAATCATCGAGTTCCTCTGTGTATTCATGTCATCATTTGTCAGTTATTATTTTTAATTTCTAGACTTTTAGTCTTCCAAGCAAAAAATGCATTCCAAAGAATGGGCCATTCTGGTACTCTCTTCATGTCAATTCACATATAGAAAATATTGTAAGATTTTAGTGAAATTAAATTGGCATGATAATTTCTAGCTATACTGCAATACCCACTGTTCTTTAAATTTTTAACAATATAGATTTTGAATTTCATTACATTTTCACTGGGTTTAAGTCATGGTCACAAAAACCACAGGACTTAGTCAATGGAACTCACAGATTCATGAAGTTCAGCAAGATGTTGAGCAGCTGGGAGATAAGAGGGATCTTGGTCCAATGCCTTCATCAACAGGGACTTGGCTTTCTGCTTCCCAGCATTGCCTGCCATTGGGTCCTTCAGCAGCACCATTCCATACAACTAGAGATGACAAAATAAACCCTACAATTCATGCCATTTTACAGCAAGGAAATATAGAAACACAGGCAGAGGAAGAATAACAGACAGTGAGGGCACGGGTAGAGTGTCCTAGGACTTTGCAAGCAGAACTGGCCATTGCAGCTGCCTCTCGCATTCGTCGAAGTTCAATGTAACACATCACCAGGCCATTGTATGCAGCAAATCTTGGACATGGTGGCTGCAATGGAAAATTGCAAATTATCAACAAACCTTCCTGCAATGATGGAACTTAATTCTTTTGAATCCTAAGAACAGCACTTGATGGGCCAAATTATTAAGGTAAATCCCATGCTGGTAACAAAACCTCATGGATAATTCAGGTCTCTAGAAGACACATGAAAGCATACTTGTGTATCAGCCACTAAACAGCAGAGGAAGCATGCATTATTTAACTTCTTTTTATTTTTTATAATGCATTTTTCCAGGATGGTATTCTTTTGAGTCATTGAGCAGATCATAGGAATCATGGCATATTTAGATTGAAAAACCCATCAGATTTCTTTGAACAGGTGCATCATCCTTCTACAGCTTGACTTCTTTCTAGAAAAAGGACTACACTTATCTGCTTCCAAAAGTTTTTACTTTAGGGTAAATGGAGTAGAGCAAAGTCCTGGCCATTTTAAACACATATGGCCACTCATAAACATGGTAATACTGAAGTAGTGCACAGCAACAGCATAATGTTCCATCAAAATGTCCTCTTCAGAAGCTTCATGATTAATATCCATACCAATGACCAGGGTTGTATGCCATTGACCCATGTAGTAGTACTACCAGAAGAAGTGTAAATTCCTTTTGCAGAACAGATGGAAGATTTTTTCATATTGAAACAGTTGCAAATACATTGATCTCTACAACACATTCTCGACCAAGGGCCTGGGTCTTTGCAATCTAGTTCAATGTGATAATATTGATACTGGATATGGACTGCCTTCACCATCATTCAATCACTGAATCTGGGTTCAGTTTTCTACCAAGCAGTCTTAGAGCTGTAGTTCAACAATTTAACTAACTAATTTATGGGCATATTTGACCCAGGAAATTATCCCAATTGCAAAGGGATAAGTTCTTCAATTCCCCCAAAAACAGCCATGAAGGCACATGGCTTTATCTTGTATTTAAAATTAATTAAACTCCATTAAATCCTGGCAAGGGTACAACTGCACTCCAAGTGGGTACAGGTTGAATTAACTCAACTTCACCATCTCAGATGCAATCATGAGTTTCACAAAGTGTAAGACAAAGTCAAGTAAACAGATGATTTTTTGTTTAATTGAATCACCCAATGACTTTCTGATGCATACAATGAAGAATACGGAAGAAGGCTTACTAGCAATTACACTCTCACATAATGAATTTCAAAAATGGCAGACACAGAACAAGCATGCAGATAAAAACTAAACTACCTGAATAGCTTCACGGAAGTGAGTAATGGCATCCTGGAATTTCTTCACCTCCATTAATATTGTCCCTTTCAGGATGAGAGTCTCCTGATGGCAGGGATTCAACATCAAGGCCTATTGCATAAAAACATGACATAGTCTGAACCCATGAAAGCTTCACCACACTCCTGATTTTTAATGCTCCACCTTCTGTGCAAAACCAAGTGCCTGCTTGTAATTTTTGGCAATGACAAGAGACTGAGAAGTTGCAATCCAGGCCTCAACAGTGTTGGGATTAATTGCCATGAGCTTCTGAGCCAGTTGTTCACACTCTTTCTCACGCTTCTCCAATGCGTAAAGATGGGCCAACATGTCCATACCCTTGTGGCTCTGTGGGTCCAGTGCATGTGCCTTTGGGAAACAAAAAAAAGCCAAAACACCAACTCAGTGAAATGATGTAAAAAAAAATTGAACACATCCTGAACTATAAATATATAAGTGCTTTTCCAGCTTTTACAAACATAAATCGATGCCAGCAATGAGGCCCTAATTTTCCCAAAGGAGGCAGTGAGAAATGCTCTGTGACCTACTGACTTGTTGGTCTATTGGTATGCACATTTTAAAAATTATTGCTATAGCTCTTCAGGGACTGGTACATCAAAATTTTTTTTTTTCCTTTGCAAAACACATTCCAAAATAACATGAGCTAAAGAATATGAATGTGATCGTCACCCTCTCAAGTGCACTTCGGGCAGCTCCATAGTCCCCAGTGAGATACAGAGCTTCTCCAACTGTTGAAATGAGACTAGAGCAGCACCTGAGAGGTCCATTATCTTCTAATGATGCCAATGTCTGAGCAGCTAACCCAGGCTCAGAGCTGTTCAGCTGCCCATATCCCTTGATCAGGGAGTGCACCCTGTCATATTGAAGAAAAAAAACAATAAAAATTTGAAACTCCAGCAAAACTTGGAAGCCATACCAACAGAGAAAAACTCCATCTACCCTAACCATTCAGAATGAGAGGTTCCAGCTCCTCCAGCCATGACTAGGGACTGAACTTCAGATATTTTCACACCCAAACTCAATAAACCAAATGCAGCTTCCAAGGCAAGTGGAGAACCCTGAAAATTAATTCAAGAAATGACAAGTTCTATTTGTTCTAAAAATTATAAATGCTAAAGAGTGGGTAAAAAACGTCTGAATGTTGCCAAGTTGAGTGATTTACCTTCAAGACTTCTCTGTATGCTGTAATGGCTGATCGTTCATTTCCTAGCATTTTATACAGTCGTCCAAGGGCCATGTTAACCTTCAAGCTTCGATGCCTTGCCAGAATGGATTCCAGGATGGAAACTGCATCTTTGTAGCTCTGCTGCTCCACCAGACACTGATGTATCTTGAATTTGATATCTGAATGGTAAAGCACACTGGTAAGTAGGCAGAACAGGTTAGGCCAACCAATATCCTACTAAATATAAACTTTACGGTATCCATTAAGTTACTTCACAATTTTAAGAACTCATTTCACCCTAAACATTTTAGATTTAAAAAATCCATATCTATGTAAAAGATTGGTTTATACCAATTCATGGAGTGCAAACTGCCACTTATAAATATGAATACATTTTTATTCATTAAAAATTCCTGAAAATGTTGCATAAATACATAAGAAAATGTCAAAATACACATGGAAGAGGATTATGGAAATACAGTGGATTCCGCTTAATTGAGCCATCCGTTAATGGGGGCAGCCGGTTTATCGGGACATTTTGTCAGGAACGGAATCATTTCTATGCGAGTGCATTAAAATTTCGCCGCATATTCGGGACGAAAATCCGCTTTACTGGGGCAAGGTTGGGGGGCAGCCGTCGGGCTGAGATAGGTTTCGCCGTTTCTTCTGCGGATTTGAGCCATTAGTTCGGGTTGGGTTTTTCCGTTATTTTTTCTGGGGATTTTAGGCAGTAGTCCTGGGTGGGCCGTCGCCGGTGGTAGCCGTCTGTCCGGGATTGGAATCCACATCAGTGCTCAAGATATCGAAGCGCAAGGATTTGTCCCTCTGTGCGAAGATCGTGCTCCTGGACATGGTTAAATTGCACGTTGAAGAACAGACGACTCGAATTCCTGCCCCTGAACGCGACGTCGATCATCCAGTCGATGGACCAGGGTGTCATCAAGAATCTGAAGACAGGAAGGAAGTTGTGCAGATGGCTCTTGTAGCTATCGAAGACAACCTGATAAGCCAGTCGTCCGTGGCCATCGACGTGAGTTCTCAGGTCTCGCTCCTCGACGCCGTCCGCTTTGTGGCTAAGAGCTGGCGGACTGCCAAGTCAGAGACCATCGCAAACTGCTTCCGTAGGGCTGGCTTTCATTCTGGACCAGAGGTGCCAGCGTCGACCTTTGAGGACGGTTCGGTCATTCTTGATGTCACTTACGGAGAAGCCTAAGTCAACATCGACGAACAAGCACCATGCTTCGCCGAATGCGATGACTTCGAAGACGATATAGTCAAGGAAATTGTTGCCAAAAGGCCTCGTTTGGGGGATGACGCAGACGAGGAGCCTGAGACTTTACTAAAGGTGACTCACGTTGAGGTCAGGCGCTCAGTAGACATCCTTTAGCGAGACTTTATTGAGCAAGGATTGGGCGATACAGGACATGCTGCTCTTGACACTTGTGCTGAAGAAGTCTTTAAAAAAGCTTTTTCAGACATGAAACAAGGAACTATGGACAAATTCCTTGAATCATACCTCTTGTTTTTTCGCAAATAAAGGGCATTCGTGTCTGGGTTTCTTATATTTCTTTACTATAAGGTAACTTCGCTTTATTGGGGCGAAACGACCTGGAACCAACGTGTCCCAGTAAAGCGGAATCCACTGTATATGCACCTTCTTGTCATAACAGTTGACAGCTGAAAATTCCCTCCCCCCCCCCCTCTTTTATTTCTTTCTTCTCAAAAAGCAGCAACTTTTCTTGGAGAATTTGCTGAGCACATTTCACTTCCCATAGAGTCATTCCATGCCAAATCAGCCAGATGAGCTCACTCATCTCTGATTTTGATGGAAATCGGCAGAGATAGAAATGAATTCTCATTTAAAAAACTACTTTGAAGCATTCATTTAAATTTTATCTTGCATCATTCTCTGGATATTTAGGTATGAATTTCACAATTTTTGGCTCCTAGTGTCCATCCATACCGGAACTGTGAAAGTGTATCAGCAATAAATTCTCTCCTTATGAAATTAGAAGCTTCATTCAGGCATCACTTTCACATTGATATTGCCCCCTTCGCAGTGATACTATCAGTGTTGGGAAGGTACTGCATTACTGTAATCAGAATACATCCAACAGTAACACATAGGAACTGATCATGTTTCGCAAAAAGTAATCATGCCTGGAAGTGAAGTTATTTTTTCCTCCAAAAAAGTAATAAGATTACAGTCTGTTACTCTCTTGCATGAATTGCTGAATGGCAGATCCCTCCCCCCATCCATTGTCTAGCACTTTGCTACTTGACCCTTTGTCTAGTACTTCTCACTCTGCTGAGTTCTTTCCCATGACCTCCCACCCCCCTACCCCCTTGGAGAGATTGGCTGTTATCCCTCACCCTATTGTGGCAAGTCAAACTTGTGGATTACCCAGCAGAGCTCAACTGAAAAGTAAAGCAAGAACAATTTGATTACTGATTAGAGATAATATTTTCAAGGGGACAACATGATTAGAGTTACAGATTATATTTGCTTCAAAGGAGTTAGTAATCAATTACAAATGTGATGAGTATTTCAAGGAATCCTACCTTTAGTCAAATAAGTCTCACCAAAAATTCTTAAATTTATTCTACAGCCTATTAAAAAAAGAATTAATACAAATTAAAAAAATATATATAGGGTCAGGTGGGGCTAATTGGTCATGATTTATTTTGTAAGCTAAGATAAACCAACAGAAAAACCTTTATACCTCAACCAGTCATGTCATTCAACTACATATTCTGCCCAAGAATGAAATATGTAAATGGTGATAGCGTACAGAATAAATCATGACCAATTAGCCCCACCTTACCCTATGCACAGGGTGGTCAGTCCACAATTGTCTTCCCGAAAATAAAAGCTTATTACTCAGGAAGTAATAAGCTACATCTGATTTCAATTATATTTGACTGAAATGATAGCCAATTCAATATATTTTTATTGTGGAATTTAGCATTACATAATAAACAAGAACAAAGTTACATCCTAACAAGCACAAGTACCCATATCATGCAACAAAAGCCTGTAAATATCACAATCCCTTCTGAAATCCACAATTCCATCTTGAGTTCCGCAATTCATTTGTGGGTTTTTCATGCATTGCGAGGGATTGTCTGTGTCATAGGTGACCTCAGTATCCTGCAGAAGACAAATATTGCATTTTTGGTTTGATAATTTGAAGAGCGCAACTTTGGTGTGAGGAAAATTTAGAAATTTCTTCAGTTTGAGTCCAAATGCCTCAGTTCCTGATGAGAAGATCATGCAAGCAATTCATAAGAGGCTTCTGAACCTGAAAAGATTTATCAGGGACCTATGACTACCTAGATATGCTGAAGCAGGCTATTGGAGATGCCTTCGACACAGTAGGACCAGAGATGATCGAAAGAAGTCAGCTAGCATTCAAAGAGAGACTGCACCAAGTCATTGAAAATTGTGGATGTCATATTGAACACTTGCAATTTGGGGGTTTTCATTTGTAAGGATGTAACTTTGCTTAAGTTTTATATGCAAGGCTGACATTTCCACAATAAAAATATATTGAATAAGTCATCATCATTGAAAGTCATAAATCATTGAAATTGGATGCATACTTCCTAAGTAATAGGCTTTTACTTTTAGGGAGACAATTGTGGACCATTCTGTATATCAAAGTAACTCCTATTGCCAAAAAAATTACGAAAAGATTTTGAAGAAGGTTCTTTCTTTCTCCATCAGATAATTTGGGATAGAATGACCCATAAGAAAGGTTGCATTTTTCTACATTGTGGAAAGAGATAGGTGCAGAAGTCCATGTTCACAACTATTGGCTCTTACTTTGTCTATTTTATAAGAAAAAAAATTATGTTCACCCTCTGCTCTATTCTGAAGGTTTGCCTTTCACTTCTCACTTGTCATGCAATGTACATGCAGTATGAAAAGTAACTGAAGATTAGTATTTACCCCTTGATTGTGTACCTGCACAATGCATCAGTGGACTAAGAAGGAGCATGCCACATTAAAAATATGCTGATGCATATGAGATGATGGGACTTTATGGAACCTGGAAATGAAAGCAGAGAAAATGATATAAGTGCTTTGGTTAAGAGATGAAGAAAGCCCCTTGGGGAAGCCAGTTTTATTTTTCTTCCTTCTACCTGCCTGATCTGGTTTTTTGTCCTTCCCCCGTAGGGATCATGGTAGGGCACAGAATAGACAATGAATTGTAGAGGCATCTCCAATATGCTTGACATTCTCTTCCAAGGCAATGTCCTTTCTTCCTTCTTCCCTTTACAGCAGTTATTAATCTCTATATATTTGGCTCATGCATCAATGCACAATTTATGAATGCTTAAGGATGATCCATCAATGCTTCCAAAAGTTATTATGATAGCCCAAATGCAAACACAACCACTTTGTCTCAACTCACCACAATCTGACATCAACTGTTTTGGCTTCACTTCTGTATCTCCTTTTAGGTTTTTGGCTTTTGTGAGGTGTTTCTTGGATTGGAGGGCCTTGCGGAAGTACATCTCAGATCGCTTGAACTCCTTCTCATGCATTAAGGCCTCTCCCATGAAAAGAAGGGCTTGGAAATCCTGCACATCACCCAAAATACCCTGCCCATACTCTTTCAATGAAAGGGCAAAAGTTCCCTGAAACAAAAATTGAAGCATTATTATTTTCGTCCATAGTAAACTTAAATGAAGTATGTTGCAAAATTTCTCAGAATGTATTTTAAAAAAACTTCCTAGACCTGAATTTAGAGAATATTCAGCCCTGAGAGCCACAAATTCAAAATGATGGTGACAAGTTGAAGGTAACAGTATCTTCTAACAACAGCTTCAAATTTTATATGCTAGAGCTCAACAGTCAACAATACATTGTATGAACCACACTTGAGGCATTGCTTATGGTCTGAGGATTTTTCAACTACCGAACCTCCCACATGAATGTCTAGAAAATGTCCATCAGGATTATCTCTTCATGCAAAACACATGAGAGCTGCAGGATCTTCTTTTCACCAGTTGCAATATAGCAGCTTTCTAAGATTATTTATCCTTGGGCTAACAGTTTCTCTTTATACTCAAAAACTGAGTAGCAGTATAAAATGTTCATGCTCAGGTTTTAAAACACAATTAGCAAAAGTTGATGAAACCTGAACTTGAACCTAGAGAAAGCCTGGCAACTCTAGCAAGAAGCCTTTGATATGGTACAACTCTCAAACTTTTTTACATGCATACAATACCCTCTGCAATCTCTTCAGTATAAGACACCTGAAGGTGATACTCAAAAGTATCCTAAAATATTAATCAAGTAAGTCATTCTAAAGTACTCTTTAGAATTATAACAAGTAGAATATTGCATCCTTTACTATTTCTTGATCATATATTGAGATCAAAACCTATGTGAGGTTGATAAATAACAAGTTAAATTGGACAGTGTCTATGGGCTGAGCTGGCTTGGCCTTGACTTCAGGACTGGGCTGGTAATCATGACCTCAAATGTCACTCCCAACACTATAAAGCTTCTGGCAGCTCACCAATTACAGGCTTGTCTTTTAATGCATAGGAAGGGGCTTCCTTTGTCTTGGGAGAAGATTTTGTGCAATCTTTGGCCAATCAGCATGAAACTACACAGCTCTTCATTATTGAAAGATATCATGGCGATTTAAAATCTTCTGACTTCATGTTGTGATAGGAAATAGATGACACACGCTATAACTAATTTAAGATGTTTCATAGAAGAAATTCTTTTGTTATGGGGGCACCTGCTTTGAAATCAACTTGGTTGACATATGGAGCTGATACATGTTATCCATTGTATGATCTACTAAAAAGCCAGGCAAACCCTATGTGTGCCTGTCACCCATTAAAGACTCACACTGATTGGGCTTTGAGTAAGCCCTCTCTGCCTGGGCTATATGCCTTTGTGAAATTCTGCATCTTAATAAGTACTCTTAGGTTAAAATTGTTGAAAACAATATACATGGCACTTACGGCTATTGTACGTCTTGTGAACACCATGTACACCCTGTGTACACCCATCCTTTAAGCCCTGTCTTCGCCTTGTGACTATAGCCATGTACTAACTAAGTATAAAGCATGGGTGGAGGAGGCCTAGAATATATATTTTCCAGCCTTGATTAAGCCATCTTATCCATTTTCTATTAAATGCGCCATATTGAAGCGCCTCCCCAGCGCTCTCTTACGGTTTCCGTGCGAGGCTATCTGCTGGGAATTTTTATTTCTACTGGAGCTGAACGCCGACTTCTAATTCTCATATACAGTCTAACTCTCGTTAATTCAGACTCGAGGGGACTGGTGATTTTTCCGGATTATCGAGTCCCTACCCGAGTGACCATTCATTTTTCTTCTTTTTTGCAAGAAGAAAACCGCACAAAATGAAGGTGCCTCATTACTCGGTTCCAGGAAATTGGGGAGATCAAACGTTTATTTATTTATTTATTCATTTTAAATCCAAGGGTGAGGGAAAGTAAAGACAAGGGGAAAAGACAGGGAAATCTTTTATTTTCTATTGTATTATATGTATTTTGCTGGAAAGTCCGGATTAATGGAAGATCTGGATTACTGGCATTCGGATTAACAAGAGTTGACTGTATTGCACATACAGCAATAGTAGCAACACACGGCAGCGGTACCCTCAGTGACATCACCACTACAACCACTATCAATGTATCATCCATTCCATTGACTGACATTGCATATAAAAATTATCGCATGCATTTTGGCATACGTCATTTACGTCGCACGACAACCCTGTAGTAGGGTAATGGGCCGGAACGGGAAGGTGTTCACGTCAGGTGTACAGGGGTACACAAGATAGGTGTTCACAGACCTATGAGAGGTGGTCACATAGCCCTGTATAAGGTGTACACATAGGCTTATAGTAGGTGTTCACATAACGAACTCGGGGTGTACATGGTGTTCACAAGACGTACAATAGCCGCACTTACAACATGAAAGCCATCATTCTGGAGAATACAACAGCCCTTGTGACTTTTAGGCCTAACCGTAGGCATCCTTTTCACTACAGTTAGCCAACTCAGCCACAACTTGGAGGCCAGGCTATCGTCTAAAGAATGTAGGTGTCATCCACTGAGGAGACGTTATGGGTCAGGTGACTTTCAGCTGGTTCCTTAAGTCAGGGTCGAGCCAGCTCAACCAACAACCAACAACAGACACTGCCTTTTAATTTATATCAATGGCATCTGACCTTCGGCTCATGACTTTAGTAGTTCTTTGGCAAAATGTATGCAACCGTGTTTCTATTATTGTTACTATCAATTATGATTTAGGACATGTCTTGCTTCATGACGGCCAGACGAACGATATGTCTTAGAAGAAAATCATGAGGTTCCTAACCTAGACCTAGCTATGCCTCATTACACGAGGATTCCCAAGACCAAGATAGCCTAAGGAAACTCACCAAAGTTATAACATTGGAATAGAGGCCTTGTTCGTGCAGGTGGGACAATTGATCGAACATGGACACCATGATACTTTCACGACGTGTCTACCGGGAGTTTTGAAAACACCACCCACGAGGCAGCCATACCAACCCCGCCTTGCAACAGCTAGGAGCAGACGACAGGGAAGATGTCACGAACTCTGCTGCACATAATACTGCATATGGCTGCGGGCTCTCCTGATTCACCCGACCCACTGGTCGTTTGGGGCTGCCAAAGGCTGATTTCAAAGCAACAATTCAGTTGTTGTTCGGTTCCAGTTTCAGTTTAGACTCTAGACCGAAATCTCACTGTGCGTTTGTCGACTTTTATCTCTAAGAAAGAAAGAAACTGCAATTGAACTGCAGTTTTGAAATCAAAGTTTTGGTGATCTGAGTCTGAGTCGAGATAGGGGAGGGGAAATACTTTTTCCTTTCCTTCTGAATCTTATCATTCCTTTTTTTTAAAGCTTCTAGACTGATGCAGTGGACAATGTGAATTTGGACTCAAATTTAGTTTCTGCCTACAGTCTGTGAGATAGACAATGGTTTAATATGCAACAGCAAAGAGAGGTAAATGGAAAGGCTGATGATAATTTACTAATGATAGGGAATGATGCAATGAACTGATACATCTAAGACAGGAAACTACCTGACCGGTGCTTTCCTGGACATTATCGTTTTTAGCAGGCTAGCCAAAGATGAACAAAGAATGGCAATGTCAGTTTTAATTAATTAAGTTAGTTATTCATTTCAGGAGAGTTAGTGATATCAAGAGGCGATTTCGCCCATTTCGATATCACGTGTCGAGGTCGAGCGTTCCTTAATTTTAGGGTAGGCCTAACCCTCTTAAAGCTATATATTTTTGTATTTTTGTATTTTTGTTTTT